AATTCAAAGCAATCGACTGAGAAAGAAAAGAGACAAAGAGAAAGAAGATGAATAGCCAAATAGTAACAGAAGCTTGAACGTTTCAAATAAAAGCAAAAGTCATCGTAATACATAAATTTTCATCTTCTGCAATGGTCAAACAATATTTCCACTCAATCAGACTATACATTTCATAGTAGATGAAATAAAAAAGAGGTCAATTTAACTTATACAATTTGATATCAACGATGATATAGTTGACTATAGTTCAGATTTAGAAGTCGGATGAAAAACATTCAAAAACAAGCTCTATATTATTATTTTTGCAAAAAATACTTATAGTAGAAGAAAATTTGTTTAGATGACACTAATAATAAGATTGATTTGCTTTATTCTTTCATTTATTTAATTCTTATATGACGATAAATCGAATGAACTAGCTTGTCTCTTGTTTTTGTCAAATAGAAACATTCAAATAAAAACAAATCGATTTTACTTTTATTTTGATCCTTCGACGACATTTATGATTTATTTTCTTTATCATAATATATAAGATTGATTAGATCTGTGTTAAAGTTACGGTTTTAATCAAGCTATCAGGAGCATAGTGATGTTTTATAGTTTATTATTATGTTCTTTTTTTTTATGAAACAAAACTTCAACATTGTACAAAATGAATCAGTTATTATTAATGAAAAATAAAATATGAATATATTGATTCATTCTCTATACACACGTGTAGGTAACTAGAGAACGGGAAAAAAAAACAGAAAAGACAAAAGAAAAAGAAAGCAAAATCAAATCAAATTGAATTCAAAAAAAATTAACATTAAAAGATGAGATTATAATTTAAAAACAAAAACAAAAACAAAAAGGATAATCTAACCTAGCAGAACAAGACACATACACACATGTGACATCAAAAAAATAAATTTAAAATTTGATTTTCTCTGATATAATGTGTGTTGCTGTTGGTGATTATATCTGTTTTGTGCTGAACGATCAAAGTCATCGACCGACTTATACATGTACTTTTTCTTTTTTCTTTTGCACTTTTTATCTTGCTCTCCTTCTTGATGATTTTAATATGTAATATCATCATCCGGTAAGGAGTAAGTATTCAATATTGTAGTGCATCTTCAAAGAAGATGTGCGCAAAGGAATGATTGAATCATTTGATTAAATTTCTTCTCATGAGATTTTATTATGACAAATAAGAGAGCTTTTTAATCTCATACCTTTGTTTTTATTTCTCAATTGAATGGATGGTTTTTTTTTCTTTCAAACAATCAATAGATTATCATCGATCGATTACATAATTCATCAACAGAGACTATTATTCACGTTCATCTCTTTTTTATTTTTAATATGTATTCTTCGCTCTTTTTTGTTTCATGGTGTAAATATTTATTCATCCTTCGATAGTAATAAAATTTATTTATCAAAAATATTCTCTAGTCAATGGATTTAAATTAATTCCGAAGGTGGCTTGTTGAAAACAACATTGTAACGAAGAATTTAAGGAGAAGAAACGTTTTTTTATGTGTACATTGTCATATGTGTGTTTTCTGCTCTAGTAGCATCATTTCATATGAAGAGATAGTGGTCATCGAATCTTAGTAGGATATCGAGAGATATTATCAATACAAAATGAAATTGTAACTTTCCACAACAGTGCTCTATTTCTTTTACATTTGTTGATCGTGAAAAATAAAAATATTGAAGAAAGATATCTCTTCTATTGTAGAAATCAATGAAGTATGTAGAGTATGTATTTGTCATCACAATACTATGTGAAATATGCTCCATTGACAAAGTTGACGTTCGAAAAAAATGTAAGTCACTCACCCATGACCGATGAAGAGTGATTGTGCGAAGAGAGCGAGAGGAGAGGAAACTTAGTATGATGATAGATGACAAGTAAAATAAAAATCATGTTAATTCGAAAAATGATATGATTTGTGTAGCAAATATGTGAGCAAAAAACCAGAATAATAAGTGGCTGACACATGTACAACTTTTGTTCAATATTATTGAGGGAGAGAGAGAGAGAGAAAGACAAAATAAAGACTTATTTCTCTCTTCGTGTGCCTATCCACACACATATTACGGGAATCTCAGACGTTCTGAAATCATTTTAAAACATCATTCTTACATACAATAAGAGCAAACATTTTTGAAACTTTGATAAATAATTCTACCTACTTAGTACTAAAATAACTACGAAGTTTAATACTATTCGTTTCTAATATGTTAAAGAAACTATAACAATATTATTATGTTTTATTTTATCGTTTATTATAATAGCTATGTAAAGATGAAAATGTATTACAATACATCACTAAATGACATAAAAAAAAAAGAATTAAATATGAAAGGAGATAAAATAAAATAAAAATATGATATTCCAATGTTTTCTTCTTGTAGTATTATCATTATCCAATAGATATTGAAGGATTAAATATAATAGTAAATAATTTAACCATTTCATATTGCATATGAAATCGATGAAGGTAAAAAAGAAGTATTTTTCTTTTTTGTCATTCATATGTAAGTTTATATTTAAAGAAATTGAAACAATAATAATAATAATAATAAATAAAGAGATTGAAGAAAAAAAGCAAAAATAAAGAAAAAAATACGTTGAATCATAGATATTGTTAAGATAGAATATGAAATGAAAAAAAAAAGAGAAATCTATGAATTATAGAGATTACATGGAAAAGCAATTGAACTTATTATGAGATAGAATGTATATTATTCTATTATTGACAAAAAAATCGATCATATATTAGCGTTGTTTATTTGTTAAAATACATACAAGATCTTTTCAATTGCATCTACATGGAAAGAAGAAAAACAAATGAAATTATTTAAAAGTAAACTTTTAGTTAGTTATATACAAACTGTTCATTAACATCAATATTAAATTTACGTATAAATTCGTCAAGTTCTTCTGTAAGTTATTCATTCAATGAAATTATAGGATGTTTCAATTCATCAACATTCACATAACCAATATCATATGGATCAAATAAATATATGACATATTTCATGTATATTATCATCGATTTCTTTTTAAATATTATTTTTGTCTCTAAAATGTTGTGCTATTCTAACAAATATATCAATATCAAATTTATGATTAATTTGTTGTTGAATCTCTTGTAAATCAACTTCTCATGGTGATAAAATATATGAATGAAGAATAATACTTAAAATTGATAAAAATAAAAGCTATTTTCATTGTTTTGTCAAAATAAAACAGATATTTTTATATCAAGTTCTTACGCTGCAATTATCTAACCTTACAATCTTTATTAAAAGATGAAAATGCTTGTATGATATTGATGTAATCTATCAAAACCACTGGATCTTATTTGAGTTTTTGTTTTAATGAAATAAAAATAAACATAATATAATTCTAAATGTTGAATACACAAAAAAAAACAAATAAATATAAGTTCTCTTCTTTTCAAGAATGAGAACAAGAACAAGAAAAAGAAAAACAAATGAATTATGTTTCTATTATTGATTTCGATGGATAATCTAAATATTGTAAGTTCTATGATAATATAATTTTCTTTTTGCTTTTGTGTTCTCCTTGTATGACTGACTATACGACGCTTTGAATTCAACAACTGATATTTGAATATTAGCTAATTGTTTTTCAAGGTCATCAAATTTAAATAATATTCTCATAAAGTAATTGATTTTTTTCTATATTATTTATAAAAACTTTACATATAATATATATATATGCAATTATTTTAATCGATTCTTTTAAATAATCAAAAGAATAATGTATGATAGAACATAGGACTTGTTAATTTTTAATATATATGTATATATATATATATATATATATATATATGTATATGTATATGTATTGTTTTTTATTATTGTAAACAAATATAATGAAAAACATATATAAATAAATTATGATTCATGGTATTTACAATTTAATCATATATTAAAAATTGATAAATTCTATGCTCTATCATACATTATTTTAGTAGATTAAGAAGATATCATAAGCTGGTATATGTGTACAATGATAAAAGCATCGTTGATAGACTGCGAAGGTTCAAAACCTCTGCATATTTAATATTCGTTTCTATATTATTGGGTTGGTAAGAAGTTTTTGTCGTTTTTTTTCGTAACTCCCTAGAGCAGTCAAAAAAGTTCTAGAAGTTTCCATACTAAGGGTATATAAAGAGAGTGTAAATATCTTTCGAGCAACAATAAAAATATGGATATACAGGGTGTCCCAGAAGTAAGGGAACAAGAAGGGTATCCGCGAAAATTGGAGGAAAAATTGTTTATGGTAGTTTGCGCACTTGTTATTGATGTAGAAAGCTGAAATTTTTAGAAATAAAAGGTTTTGGTTGGATACGTATGTGATAAAAATTTCAGCTTTCTACATCAATAAAGAGTGCGCAAATTATCATGAACGATTTTTCGTTTAATTTTAGTGAATACTCTTCTTGTTCCTTTACTTCTGGGACACCCTGTATATCCATACTTTTATTGTTGTTCGATAGATATTTTCACTCTCTTTATATACCCTTAGTATAGAAACTTTTAGAACTTTCTTGACTATTCTAGGGTGTTACGAAAAAAAACGACAAAAATTTCTTACCAACCCAATAAAATAGAGTTTATTAGGTCGATTCTTGATCGAATCTATTGAAGTTATCACTTGAAAATAATTCAATAAATCGTCTTTGAACTCAACAGATTTTAAAATGTCTTTTTCTAAAGCAAAACAAAATTGAACATAAACAAAGAATAGCATGGATTATATTGAAACCCTTTAAAATCTCTTTGCTAACATCTTGCAAATTGTAAGCGACATCTGTTGTGTATGCATTATTCGATGAAGATTCAATGATAAAAATTGATTGGTTTTGTAACGTTTCCCAATAGTAAATGGCTTGAGACAGAGAGAGAGTGAAGCATACTGATATTGATTGAGTTTGTTCTTTTTTAAACTTGATATTGATAATGACAAATAATATAAGTCGTTGTCCACATGTAGCTACAATTGGATTTATTTCAACAGAAGATTATTTAAATGCTATACAAGTTTGTTTGTTTTTTTTTTGTTTAATTCAATTAAATTGAATAAAATGGTGTATTATATTCTAGCATGAAAAATGTGTAAAATGTGATTGTATTGGTCCTCATTTATGGTTATGTTTAAGAGAAGGTTGTTTATTTGTTGGTTGTGGTTCTGGAAAAGAAAAAAATGATCATAGTACTGAGCATGAAAAAGAAAAAGCACATCCACTTCAATTAAATTTAACAACAAAACGTATTTGGTGTTATGTTTGTAATCAAGAAGTTTATTCAAATAATGATCCATCATTTGAGTAAATTTTATTAAAAAAAGAAAAAAGAAAGAAACTTTAATTTGTTTATTAGATTATCATTTATTGATCGTTCAAGATTACAATCAAAATCTTCTAAATTAATAAATAATGTTAATCAATCAATAAATAATTCCGTTCAAGTAAATGTTGTTAATTTAGTTCAAGAAAATTCTTTAAATCAATCAATTATTCGTCGAAATCAATATGAAAAATGTTTTGAACCAACACTTTTTGAACTTGAACATTCAGATACAACAGATTTTACTCGAGGTTTACTATTTATTTATTTATTTATTTATTTAGTTTTATTTTTATTTTTTAGGTATATCGGGTTTATATAATTTAGGTAATACATGTTATATGAATTCAGCTTTACAAGCACTTTCAAATTGGTAATATAAAAATATAATTTTTTTTTTCTTTATTTCGAATATATTTATTATTTAATTAATAAAAGTGTTCCATTAACAAGTTATTTTCTTGATTGTATTCCATTTATTGGAACGAATTCGTATCGTCGTATAAATGGAGATTTATCACATATTAAACCAAATGGAAGATTAGTTACATCTTATTTAAAATTTATTGAATCAATGTGGATTAAACCTCTTCGTGGACGAGAAAGGTTTTTTCTCTAAGAAAAAAAAAAGTTAATTTCAATTAAATTATTTTTTTAAATTTTAGTCATGTTATTAATCCAAGTTCTATAGCAGCAGAAATTCGTTCGATAAATCCATCATTTCGTTCTTATACTCAACAAGTAAAATAAAAATTAATAAAAAAAAGAAAATATTTTATTTAATATTTATATTAATAAAAGGATGCTCAAGAATTTCTTCGATGTTTTATGGATGAATTACATTCAGAAATGCGTTCTGTTCAATTTGATTCAGATGATAAACATCGAAGTGAAAGTAGTAGTACAGAAAATAGTGATGTGGCTATTATTATACCAAAGTATATTTACTTTTTATTTATTTTAACATATTCATTATAATCGAACATTGAATTTATCCTAAATAGAGATTCATCTTAAGTAGACATTCAGCCAAACTAATTTTAGTTAGAGTTTCGTTTTTTTTTCGCGAAGTTAAATTTACTCATTGAGAAGAAAAAACTTCGATAGAATATGTTTGTTAGATTTGGTTTTCATAATTAGTAAGATTCACTGTTTTATTCAGTTTTTTCTCTTTATTCGAAGTAATTTTAAACATCGCAAGAGTGAACACCTAGTTTTTTTCTTTCGACTATGGATGCTGCATACAATACTGACTAGAGATGTTGATATCTATATTTGATTGAAACTAAAAAAAAAATTCATTTTATTAGTGATTAAATAAATAAATTTATTTATTTTAAATAGTCTCAATAGTGAATCGGAATATGAAACATGTTATTCTGGTTTTACATCAAGTAGTGATGATAATAGTAATGATGATGAAAAAAAAAAATATGCATCAATAAATGAAATAAATGAATATTCAAAAAAGAAAATTTATCGAGAAAAATCTCAATCATTAAGCCGAACAGATTCTGGTGTTTCACTTAATAGAAATAAAAAACAAGAAGAACAAAAAATTAATTTATTTGATAAAAATATGAAAACAATTAATTCATATAGTAATAAATCTAAAAGAATATTAACAAATTCAATAATATCATCTATATTTGATGGAACAATTCAAAGTCAAATTGAATGTTTAACATGTAATCGACGTTCATCAACTATTGAAACATTTCAAGATCTTTCATTACCAATTCCATCAAGAGAACAACTTGAAGTAAATCAATCTTTCTTTTTTTTGTTTTTATTATTTATTAATTTAGAAATTTCATTCAATACAATATGGAAATGATGATCAATTATTATCAACAAATCAACAAATATTTGATCAAAATAAAAATGATTCTTGGATTTCATGGTTTTATTCTTTATTTAAAAAGTTTGTTTTATTTACGTAATTAAACAAAAACAAAAAATAAAAATATATTTATTATTTATTAGTTTATTGACATTAAATATTTGGGGTCCACCATTAACTTTACAAGATTGTCTTCAAGCTTTTTTTCAAGCTGATGAACTTACTGGAGATAATATGTATAGTTGTGAAAAATGTCGAAAGTAAACATTATTATATAAGATAATTATTTTAAAATCTTATTTGAGACTTTTCTTTTTTTTTTTTTTAATTAGATTGAGAAATGGAATAAAATATTGTAAAGTTGTCGAATTACCTGAAGTAAGTTTTTTATTTTATTAAACTAACTAATTTAACAATGATTTCGATATATATTTATTAAGAAGAAATCTATTCGTTTGATTTCGAACTTTTTAAATATCATAACAATCATTAGATCAATTTTTTTCTGCAAAATTTCATTCGAAATCTCCTTTTAACTTTAGTGTTTTCTTTGTAATATTCTTTTATTTGGTTAAAAATTCAGTAAAATGATCAATGATATGCGTTTCTAATCAACAACATCTCTATGAAGTCTTGAAACTATGAGCAAATTTCGAATGTATTTGCATGATATTGTTGAGAAATGAAAAAAAAACAAAGATTATTTTCCTATGTTGATTAGTGACATTGACATATTCTGTTCATTCTATGAAAAAATGTCTTATAGGAACACAATCACAACGTTTTCAATCTAAAACGCATGTTTGCAGAAATTTGCACAACCTTCCACAGATCGTGACAGATGGACTTCAAACCCATCACTAGAGCCTTCCGGGTCCGAGGATTTTTGGATACGAATCCGATGGACTCTACCCATCTTCCTTATTGTAGTTCTAGACGATAAAGTAAAAGATGGTGCAACAATCGGTCCCAAGATAGACCAAATAAAACAATATTCGCATCATAAGTAATGATAGCAACATCGTGTTTCACATTTTAATCTCACAGGATCTAATTGATTGAAAAAGCCTGAATGAATTACATAAATCAATATCGAATTAAGATTCTATGTGCAAAACTTGTGATCTATCTATTAACTAATAAGAGAAAATATTTTCGTATTAAATTATTGTTAGATCAAAGATATTTTAGAAATTTTATTTAAAAAGAAAAATCAATGTTAATTGTAGGTATTATGTATACATTTAAAACGTTTCCGTCATGATTCAATGATCTATACAAAAATAGGAAGTTATGTATCATTCCCTTTAGTCGATCTTGATATGACACCATTTATTCATAAAGGTTTATTCATTTTTTTCTTAATATTCTATTTACTAATTAAATATTTGAATAGATTGTCGAAGTAAAATTCATATGTATGACTTATTTGCATGTATTGTTCATTATGGTCGAGCTGGTAGTGGTCATTATATAACATATGCATTAAATGGTCTTAATCAACAATGGTATGAATATGATGATGAAAATGTTAGACAAGTTGATCCAGCAATTGTTCAAAATGCTGAAGCATATGTTCTTTTTTATAGGTTTAATTCTTTGATTTCATAAATAAGAGAATTTCTATTTTTTTTTTGGTTTTAGAAAAAAAGAACCAAATATAAGTGAAACATATGAAGCAATTCGTCATTTACTTGCAAGAGATCAAGTTTGTTTTAATAAATAAATATTTTTACAAAAAATAAAAATAATAATTATATTTTTGTTAAATATAAAGGATTATCTTCTACCATTTTATATATCTCGTTCATGGATAAATCGATTTTTTTATTTTGCTGAACCTGGACCAATAACAAACAATGATTTTTTATGCAAACATGGAGGTTTGATTTATTTAAAAAACAAAAGATTTTTATTTTTAGCTATTTTTTTTTCTATTTAAAAAACAAAAAGGTGTTTTACCACATTATTGGAGTGTTATTAATGATCTTGTTTGTCCAGTACCTGAAAGTGTTTGGCAATATTTATCTGAAAAGTAAATAAAAATAAAAATACTAGTTTTTTTTTTTAATTTTATTTTGTCTAATACAGACATGGTGGATGTTCAGTATGTAATATATTATATCCATGTCGAAAATGTCAATTAGATGATGAAAATTTAAAATGTCGACAACGTTTAGAAAAGAAAACTTTCTTACAAGTAAGTATTCGTGTTGACTATTTATTATTATTTTAAATTAAATTTTATTTTTTTTTTGAATCAATTTTACTTTGATTATCGTTTGATAAACCGACTTTGTTCTATGCACATATTCATTCAATAGTTTTTTTTTTCATAAGATTATCGAAAGATCCTCTCGCAGTTGTTCACCTTAAATTTTTATCTTCTCATGATCGACACATTTATTCGAATGGTTAATAATGCTATTCAATGAGATTGTCAACCATTGGATATTCTAACATTATTCTATTTCATTTTTAAATTTAGTTCGATAGAATTGAAGTCGATCTTCAATATTAAATAACTTTTATCACTGCTTTTTCTGTACGTAAAGAAAAGGTCACTTTCCATTGAGACTGTGAGAAAGAAAGATTTTGACATTTAGTTAAAATGAATATTTCGATGATAGGAATCTGATAAAATAAACAAAGTTGAAAATAAAAATATGATGATTATATTAAGTGAGTATCTCTAATTAATAATAAGATTTTAATTAGAAAAAATCGTTAATAAAATGTCGATATCGGATTGATAAAGGAAGGATTGCTAATTAAGTTAAATAAAATAATCCGTTGTTGATTTATTATTTATAAAAATCGAAATAAATGTTTCATTTTTGCATACGCATAAATTTTTATTTTTGTGAAAATTCTTTGATTAAATAATTGATAATTTGTTCATGTTGATAAAAAATGAAAATTTTAGCAAGATCTTGTGTTTTTGAATGATTTTCTGTTAATATTAACAAATTCTTAGACATTTTTTGTTTTTACTTTTTCAGAAAAATCATGGGTCAATTAGAATCTAAACTAAGAATTTACACATAAACGTTCATTATAATAAAAAAAGGATTTTAATGATAAAATTTATTGTCTCAAATGTTTTAAGTATAGAATAGAACGTAGTTTTTCTTAAGTTGCCAAAAGAAAAAAATGTAAAATTTTTAAAAACTAAAGAGAAGAATAATCTTTGAAATGAGAATAGCTCTCTATGGAAAAGTGATGCTCAAAAACGATTTTATTGAAAACGATACGTTGACATATGTTGAGTTATTCAAGAAAAAAAATAAAAAATTTTATTTGAATCGTTTAATAATAGTGATATAGATGTTCGAATCTAACAAATAGAAATCAAACTGTCTGTGTATGTGTGTCATTTGATGAAAAAGCATTGGGCACTGATTATAAATGACGAATATATTTGAAATCACCAACCTACCTTCTGATGACACAAAGTTTAAACAAAAAAAATTTATTTTTTTCTTTTCTTTTTTTTAGTTAAAAAGATCTGAAAAAGATACTGATGCTATTTATGCACTTAGTCCAAATTGGTATCGAGATTGGGAAAATTTTGTTTGTGAAAAATCATCTGGTAAAGATTTATTTATAATATTTTTAAAAAAAATATTTTTTTTTTTCTTTAAATGATTAAATAGAACCGCCAGGTCAAATATCAAATGCATCTATTTCAATAACAAAAAATGGCATTACTCGTTTACTTAGACGTGGTGAACTATTTTATTAATAATTTTTTTTTTTGTTATTAATTAAAAAATTTTTATTTTTTAAGATTGTAATTATTTTCAAGTTAACGAATCTATATGGAATTTTTTATATTCAATATACGGTGGTGGACCTGAATTAATTATTCGACCAAATTCTACAATGAATTCAAATTCAAATGTAGATGATCAAATATCTTCGAATAATAAACCTGCAGTGACTTTCGTTTAGCAAAAAAAAAATTTCATTTTTTTTCTTTTTTTGTCTCATGTCCGATACACGTTTGTGTTTATTTATTTCGTTCGCTTTATTTCTTACTTGCCATTAAACAGTTTTATTTTATGCACTCAAGAAAAAAAAAAACTTCGAAGAAGAAGAAAAAAAAAAAACTTTAAAAGATTTGCACAAATATCTCAATCTCACTATTGAAAAAAATATTTATTCATTAGGGTTTTTTTTTTTTGAAATTTTTATTCATTGTTTCATTTCATTTTTTACAGATTAATTTTCTTTAATAATTTTAACTAAATATCTTTATATGTTTCAAGTCTTAACAAAGTAAGTCGTTTATAATTATAATCAATCGATAAATAACAAAAAAAAACAAACCTGCAAGACTATCAATATTGATAATAAAGAAAATAATTAGAATATAATTAAAATTCTTGCTTTTCTTATCAATATAATTTCATAACTGATAACGAAATATTTAATTCTATCAATGAAAAAAGAATAACATTGATTTGAAAAAACATTAGTCGATTTATATAGACGAGATTTTATATAATTGTTATTATTTAATGAAGATAATTCATATTTCATAGTTTATATATAGTTATGAAATAAATTGATAATTTTTCTTATTCTTCACTCATTGATCAGTTTTATACATATTGGACGAAATATTTTAAGATATCTGAGAAATTCTGTAGATGATTAATCTCTTGATCAATAAAATCTGCTTAAATATGAATCTTTCCAATTGGCAACAAAATAAAATATCGATTTAGTCTAATAAGATTTCTAAACAATTAATCTAACATATAGATATATTTGACTGTATCTTTATTTGGTTATGATTACATTGAATTGTAGATGTCCATCGTGGCTGAGAATTGACTGCTGTCACGCCGCAGCGACGGGCAAGAAAAACTTGCTGCTACCGTGACGATATTCAAAAAAATGTTTCGATTTTTTGAAGACCATGACTGGTTTGAACTAGAACTGCTGTTGCTACTCGACCAGATTTGCTAAGTCTTACAGTATCACATATATGAATATGGAGATTCTGTACAAATTCATATATTTTTGAAATTTCTTTCTAAAAAAGCTGCCGAGAAGCCACCGCGATGGACATCTCTGGACTGATATATTGATTATCGATGTGAAACATATTAAGTTAAATGCCGTGTTGAATTTCGAGAAATATTCTATTTGAGGTAGTTTTTTTATTGTATTTATCTTCAAATTGTCTCTTTGTCAATTACCTTTTACCATATTTATTAGATTATCATCATATGCGCTATGCTTTATTCTTGTTTTGTGTTTCTTTTTTGTTTCTAATATATATGATTAAAACGATAAGACTTGTTATTAACGTCAGAGGATTAAACAAAGCAAATAAATCAATTTATGAATCAAATCAAAGATACGATTATTTCATAAATAGATCATTTTTCAGTTGAAAACGATATTATCTTCTAGAACTAAAGGATGCATTTCGTATTAGACAAAAAGATTTCAGTCGAATATCTTTTTAATTTGGTCGTCAAATTGAAATATCGGCAACAAAGTTCTCTTTTTTAATCAAGATAATAATGATATAATTAAGTTCATATATTATCTTTGATTTTCACTTTGTTTATTACCTGTAAAACTAGTAATTAATATATTTATTGTAAACAGATTTATTTTTGATAAAGATAAATTTTTCATAAAAATTTAATTTGACAAGAAAAAGAAAAACGAACTCAATCAAATTATTGATAGATAATGACTAATTGATATACTAAATTTTCGAATAGAATAAAAAAAAAAGTTATTTAAATATTGGTATAAGTTAATATTAATATAATAAATATATATATATATAGGTCACAAAAAAGATGCCGTCATCAATAAAATTAGTAAATCATTCATTTATTTTTAAATATAAATCATTAAATAAATTATTTGGTTCATGTCAATGTCATTTATCAGTATATATGAAATGTATTATTTGTATATTAATATTATATTATTTAAATATATTAATTGGTTTTAATAGTTCAATATGGTCTGAAAAATCATTTGAAAATGAATATTATTTACGAATGATACATATCGATGTAACTAAAATTGAAGAAAATGTTGAACAAGTATTAGGTTTACCAATAAATATTCTTCCAAATAAATTTTTAATTAAAAATGAATATTTATGTGGTCGTTCACTTGATCCTGAAACACTTATTCATCCACATTTAATTATTTTAGTTAAATCAAATTGTGAAAATTTTCAAGAACGACAAGCTATTCGAATGACATGGGCACAAAAAAATCGTTTATTAAAAACAAATATTCAATTAGCATTTGTTTTAGGTAAATCAATTTTTATTTTTATTTTGTATTTTATTTTTATTAAAATTTAAAATTAGATTAAAAAAAAAAATGAAATCTCTTCTAAATACGTAAGTTTAATTCAATCTGTTTTATTCGATAAAATCCACTTAGATTATCTTAGTTAATTATGCATATTGCATGTTCTTTGCTATTCATATTCAATTTAGTTATTAAAAAATCCTATTCTTTAATAAAAAAATAAATATTAGAAAATATTTTTTTTAAAGGTACAAATGCTCATAATACAAGTGTTGAAGATGAATCAGCAAAATATGGAGATATAATTCAAATTGATAAAATCGATTATTATTATTATAGTTCATGTAAGCGTTTTTTTTTTTGAAAATAGAATTCTTTCAAAATAAAAAAAAAACGATTTCTTGTAAAGATAAAATGATAATGATGCTTCGTTGGATAAATGATTATTGTACATCAAAATCTCGTCGAGCACCACATATAGATCTTCGAAAATATGTTCTTTTTGTTGATGATGATTATTATGTTGATTTAGATTCATTATTATTATATATATATAGTATTGATGAAGATAAAGAAATGACAACTTATGAACGACGAACATTTTTAACAGGTGAATTAAATGAAAAATCTCGTCCTCGAAGATTTATAAATGATCGTTGGTATGTATCAATTAATGATTATCCATATGATATGTATCCTAATTATATATCAACCGGATGTTTTTTAATGACACGTTATAATGCACGTTTATATTATATCGCATCAAAATATATTCGTTTATTTTATTTTGATCATGTTTATATGGGACTTTTATCGTATTCAATGTCAACTAATTTAATTGCAAATAATCAACTTTTTTCAACATCTTTATCATTAAATCATAAATTGAATAATAATCAATTGAGATTTTTACATCAATGGAAATCTATATTTAATAATCAAATTTATTTTAATTCAACAAAAAACCCAATTTGTTTTCGAGGATATCGTACTCAAAAATTAATTGATATTTGGAATCAAATTCATCAAACTAATCTTACTTTTACATTTGACTCATCTATTAAATAAACTCTTTTTTTTTCTTAAATATCATTTTCAATATGTATATTTACCTTAAAGATAATATATAAGATAATATATAAGAGAGCAAAAAAAAAAAAGCCGAGTAGTTTACAATTATTCTAGATGTTAGTTAAATAAAGAAGATGAAGACAAATGATTTTCTTTGTGGAGTTATTGAAGGTAGGTTTAATTATAATCTATTTCAATATTTCATTTTCTCTTCTGACTTTTCTTCTTCATATTTTACTAATCAAATATTTAATTAGATTAATACAAATTAAAGATTATCATTAAAATGATTTTATGAATTGAAATTAATTATTATTAAATTTTTGTCAAGAAAGAAATTTTGAGAAAAAAAAATCAAATTGACATGAATATTTTTAAGGCCACTCCTCCCGCCCCTTAAAAAAGTCACTTTTCGTTAGAATGATCGAAATTAAGATAAATGTAGGAAAAGATAGTCCGTGATCTGATTTCTCATATATACGGCAAAAAGTTTTACTCAGCACCTCGTTTTTTTCCAAAAAAATGTTTGAAGATTCCCGTTATTACCTATTCGGAAAATAAAAATCTTTTTCGCTTTTTCTCGTTTTGTAGGTTTCCAATCGTATCTTCAAGAAATCTCGAGAGAGCTTCATCATAGCCAATAGTTTTTTTTAGTTTGAAAGAGCATGTCAGAATGTAATGCCTATGAGAGCCTGTTTATTTTTTAAGCTTTGCTTTTAGTATATATATACGAACATTTATATAATTGGAGCACCATTTTTAGAGAGTTTTTTTGAACTTTCGATCCCTTTTTTTTTCCTCTTAAAAAATAAGAGTTTGCAGATGAGATGAGCTATTTTTTTGACCCTTGTTTTGCCAATATTCCCCTCAAATGTCATGGTACAGGGCTGAAAATTTCATGCCATTCGAACGTTCCTGGCCTGAGATCCTTTTTTGAGGGTGAGGGTAGCTTTAAGAGAAAAAGAAATCAATTTCGAACATAATTATTTATGAAATATTTATTCTTTCAGAAGATATGTAGACAGATTTTTAAGTTAATTACATTTATTTTATTTATAATCAAAATAAAAAATCGCATTAATCTAGTTTGATTTTTCTCTTAAATATGATTGAAATTTGATAATAAAATACTTATCTTAAATATGAAATAAATTGAAAAAGAAAAATTTAAATCGATAATCAATTGTAGGTTATTATGGTCGTCCATGGTCATTTAATCAACGAAAAGCACTTTTTGAATAGTTTGTATTTAATATTAATTAAGAAAAAAAAAATAAATCTATTTAAATTGAAATTTCTAAATAGTTGTTTAAGATTTGGTTTAAATACATATGTATATGCACCAAAAGATGATGCAAAACATCGATCTCGTTGGAGAGATTTATATACAAATGAAGAATCAAATGAATTAGCTCAATTAATTCATACAGCTAAACAATTTGGAATTAATTTTGTATATGCACTATCACCTGGTCTTGATATAACTTATTCATCTGAAAAAGATTTAACAACACTTAAACAAAAATTTCATCAAGTTCTTTTTTTTTTTAATTTTTATTTATTAAAAAGAGAAATAAATTTTTTTAAATGTTTTTAGTTATCTACTATTGGATGTGAACATTGGGCATTGTTATTTGATGATATTGAAAGTGAAATGTCTCAACAAGATAAAGAAAATTTTCCATCATTTGCTCATGCACATGTTGCTATTACTAATCAATTATATGATTATCTTAATAAACCAAATATTTTTATATTTTGTCCAACAGGTTAATTATTTAAAAATAAATTAAATTTTCTTTTTTTTTATATAGGTTATTTTTAGTTTATTGTAGTCGAATGGCAAAACCATCTCTTGAAAAATCTTCATATTTACAAACAATCGGAAATGGTTTACATACAGATATTGATATTTTTTGGACAGGTAATCGGCTTGTCCAAACGTAACGCTGTTACGTTTTTGATATACTCTTCTCCAACTTTCTCGAAAACTTTAAGAGCTAGGAAGTTCGTTCAAACGTCATTCGACGCAGCTTATCGAACTTCATTTATCATATAAAAATGACCTTTTTTGATTGAAGTCTCAGGCATCTAGAAATGTTTTATCATGGCGTAACGCTGTTACATAAAAGGACCCTTTTTTTCCAGTGCCACTGAGAAAACTCTAATTTCTTGCGAAATCATTTCTTCAAATGTAATGCTCCAAGAATCACTTTTGTAGAGCATTGAATAGACTTTCAGGCAGTAAAAAAGATTTTCTCTAAAACATTTTTGTTCAAATAAAAAATGCAAAAAACAAATGTAACGCTGTTACATTTTTCGTAACGCTGTTACACAGTTTTTTGTTGACCAATTTTGAGGCACTTAGTGTACTCGGAATTACTTGATTTTTATAATTGTTACTGTTTTATAAGTAGACAATCTCCTCTGCAAAAATGAGATTGATACATCGATCTGAGAGCTTATAAACTGGGCAGGAAGTTGGAAACTTTATCGAAGCTTTCAATCCATTCTAAGCTATCAAAGTCAAAACTAAATAGACCATTTTGTAGAGAATTTAATTCTGCATCGAATGGTATGTCTCTTAGCCCTTGTTGAAAACATTTCTTGGTTAAAAAATCCAAAATACGGTTTTTGAAAACTTTAAAATCCGATTCTTGATATCAAAATCTGATTTTTATGCTAAATCAATATCAAATTCGTAATCAGTGTAAAAAACTGCATCTAATAGTCCAATGAGATCTGTCCAACTCGAAAAAAAATTTTTTCAAAACTTGATCAGCGAAGTGTCGCGTTACGCGGACAAGCCGTAATACTCTTTTTTTGTAATCATATCATTTCTTTTTGTAACTTTTGATATTGAACTAAAATATTTAATTGACAAGAAGAAAAAAGAGCGTAGTTATTATAAGTTATATGTATGCTTCTATCGAATGAGAAAACATTTTCAATTCGGACTCTATGAATATGAAAAATCGCAAAATGATAAAGTCTCTTAGGACTTCTGTTCAAAGTTCTAGGAGAATCTATCATTTTTGAGACTTTTTCATATTTAACTAGAGTCTACCTTATAATGGAGAGTCCGAATTGAAAAATCAATTTATTAGTTGAAAAAGTTCCTTCGTAAGATTAGAGTTTTGTTAATCAATTGCAACATGAAACAAATTATTGATACAAACATGGACTAAATGAATAAAATACTTGGAAAAAAAACCTTTGTTCATTTCGAAGAAAATCGTATAATAATAAAACATAATGACTATTAGGAAACAATGTCAATGTTTTCGCTTCTTATTGATATGAGTATATGAGACTTTAATTTAATCATGAGTATAACTATCTAGAACATAGTTGAATTTTAATTTATTTTTCAAATAAATATTCGGAAAAAAAAGAAACTTCTAAAATGATGAAAAATAAATTAGAATAAAACAAATTTTTTCTTCTTCTAATCAAAAACGATAATAATAATGATATTTAGATTTATTCAATATTGAAGAATTTACTGACTTATTCATATGAATTAAAAAGATTGTTTTCTATATCGAATAATTCTATAGTCAAATCTTATCCAATCTTTTTCAAATATAGTTATCACTTAATAATCTTCAGATTTTTTGAAGAATCTCTATGAAATCTAATTGAATGTTTTTTTCTATTGACATAAATGTATCGAATTGAATTTAATATTTTAATAAAGAATCGAATAAAATTCTGTAAAATAATATTAAAAAAAAGTAAATAAATAAAAATAAATTTGTAGGTCCAAAAGTAGTATCTCGACGAATAACAATGTCTCATTTATTATCAATAAATAATATATTAAAACGTCGTGTTACAATTTGGGATAATTTAAATGCAAATGATTATGATCAACGTCGTCTATGTATGGGACCATTTTCAGGTCGTTCATTAAATATATCAAGACGAATATGTGGAATGTTATTGAATCCAAATTGTGAATTTGAATTAAATTTTATTCCATTACATACTCTTGGTCAATGGTTTCAATTAATAAAAATAAATGAAAAACAAGATCAATTTGATGATGATGATGATGATGATGATGATAATAATATTGAAACATCAGAAATTTATCAAATTGATAAAGTATTTCATAAATCTTTAATTGATTGGTTACCAGAATTTAATAAAATAAAATCAGCTAATGATTCACAACAGATTGTAAAAGTAATTGAAATTCTTTATTTCTTTATTTATTTTTTTCATATTTGTTTTTATTTTAATTAAAATATTAAGATTGATAATTCTCCTCAAGGAATGAGTCCAAAATCAGTAACATCATTATTAATAAATGATGAAGATTCTCAAGAATCAATTAATGAAAATCCCACATGTTCATCATCATCAAAAACTCATATTATGGAATGTGATCATAATAATACAAATAATATTTATTTAACAATTGATGATATTCGTTTACTTGTTGAATTATTTTATTTACCTTATCAACACGGACCAAATATACAACAAGTATTTATTGATTTTTATTGGCTTAGATTTAATTATAATCAAGATCAAAATGTAATACACACGCACATATTATCTTAATTTTTTAAAAATAAATGAAAATGTTTATTATTATTATTATTTTTAGTTAAATGATTGGCGTTGTCGTGCGTCAGTATTTCATGATAATGCAAAAGATATATCTCGTTTACTTCAAAAATTAGTTGCTATTCATAATCGTGCATTGCTTTATGATGTTTATAATTATATTAATGATATTAATTCAACAATTAATCTGTGTTCGAAATATCTTTATTGGATTGGTAAAATTTTATTAGTTACTTCTTGTTTTTGAATTATTTTTTTATTATTTGAGATAATAATCAAAGACGTTCATCAGTATTTATGTCAGGTGATGAAGAACCATGGTCAAAACGAGGTGGTCTTGCCGGAGATTTTCTTGTTTGTTTTATTTATTTATTTATTCGTTTTTTTAATTTATTTTTAATTTAATAGAATTTACTTCCATTGGGAGATTTTCAATCATTAATTAAATCAGAATTTAATTCATTATCAAATGTTTTTATTATTCGACCAATCACTTCAAATGATCATGTTTGTACTATTTATAAAAAAAAAAAATATATAATCATTGTTTTTTTACTGTCATTAAAATCCTATTCTTTTTAGGCATCAATGTATGCATTATGTACAACAATTTGTTATCAAGATGATATTGATGATCTCCTCAATCAACATTCACAAATTTTAGCTGACAAGTTCGTCTTTTTTTTTTTATTTCTTTTTTAGTAAAAATTCAAAGTAAAAAAATAATATAGGAACTTATAAATCACAATAGATAATCAAAATAAAATTGAATTTTAATTCATTGCACAGATTTAATCTGATTGGAATAATAAGTTCTGATTTTGTTCATCTATCCTTGTTATTACAATCTTTGAATATTTATTTTTCTGTTGATACTAATTTGATATTATTTCAATGGAAATAAATAAAACAAAGACGTAACGTAAGATGAATCGATAAAAAACAAACAACAAAAATTTAAACAAATATTTATTTAACATAAACGATTAAAAATGTTGAATAGGAACTACGTAAATTGCATAGATATTAAGAAATAAATGAACTAACAACTTGTTATTAATCTACTATTTCTTTTTTTTGTAACAAGAAAAATAATGCAATGAACATTTTCATAATAATTAAATAAGTTTGCTCAAAAAAATGAAATTTTTATTGAAAACTTTCGATAAATATTAGAAATAAAGAGTCTGTTTGATCTTTTCCTATCTAAATCAGGCATATTAATCTTCTTATAGATTCTGTTTATTCTTATTTAGAGATCGACATATTTCATTATATTGAAGACAAACAAACGCTTAAGGAGATCTCTTCCTCTTTTCTCAACGAAAATTTTTACATATTTCTTCTCTCAATACACTTCGAAGTATTCTTTGTCTATTGGAGATATTTCAACAATTACATTGATTTTGATAAACAAATTTTTTGACAAAACTACTTTCACTAGAAAATATTTAGAATGTCTCAGTATTTTTTTTTTTTGTTGTTTGAAAATCTGATGTATCGATGGTTTTTTGTCAAGTTTTAGAAAAAAACCATGTCTTTTTGGATTTTCTTTCATAATTTTCGTGTTTTCATTTGAATGGAAGAAGATAAAACGAAACTAAAAACAGTAGAGTATCAGCATATGCCTCAGTATTTTTTTTAAAAAACTTTAATCCTATCAGATAATGGCGAAAATGAATAGATATAATAAATATATATATTGTTAAGATAAAAATACTAAATAGATTTTTGTTTATAGATTAATTGGTGGATATTTGTCAAGTTCATTAAATAATAGTGATCTTTGTTATGCTATTGATAATAATGAAGATAATTTATGTGGATTTGTATTAACAATAAATGAAAGTGAAAAACATGATAAATTTATACAAACAAAATGGATTGACGAACTTCATCAAAAATATCCAAATGTTGATCAAGTTAATAATTCGAAGAAATTTATTTTAAATTAATTAGAAAGAAAAATTTTTTTTTTATTATTTAGAATTTTTTTGAATTAATTGAATGTCCTCAATGGATTTATGATCGATATTGTGTTCGTGTACAAATCTTTATTGATTTAACAATAAAAACAGATGCAATTTATCATCTTGGAAATAAATTAATGAAAATTCTTATGAAAAAACTTTCTCAACAAGGTTTTTTATAATAAAGAAAAAAAATCTTTTTTTTTTTTTTTATTCTTACATATAAATATTTGATATTTATTTTGTAGGTTGTGATGGATGTCATGCATTGTTAGATGAAAGAAATGTTGCCTTACATCAATTTTATTTATATCTTGGCTTTACTGATATACCAATTATCGATCAGAATGATCATATTATTCTTCTTGGAAAAAAATTTTAAAATTTTCGACGTTTTTTTTTTTTTTTCGTTTTTCTACAAATTATTTTTCTTGATTATGATCATGACAATAAATAAGATTCCAATTATATTTTCGATTCATTATTTATTAACATCAAAATCATGAAAGTAGACTATTATTCAACTCGTTGTATGACATTTATAATCTATTAAGATTAAATATTATATAAGAAAAGTCGTTTAAGAAAATTGCAAGATACTTTTTTTAATATAATAATAAAGTGAACTTATTCGATCTCTGATTTATAAATATTTAATAATCATTGACTTTTCAAAAAAAAAGAAAATAAGAAACTTGCTCACGAAGTGATTTAGAAGTTGTTTGTATTTCATTAAAGTTTAAATAATGAAATAAAAAGTTTTTTCTTAAATATAATATTATCGATTTTTGTAATCGATTAAAACTATAAGAAAGTTAGACTATCAATAGAATAGTTATGATTATTATTCTAAAATGAAAGAACTTATTGAATGTATTACAAATGTCATATTCTATGTAAACGTTTCAATGTCCATAGTGTGATAAATGCCATACAAAGAACTTCTGTTGATTGATATTTGTTATTGTAATGAAGAAAATTAATATGAGGAAATTGAAATATTTAGACTCATCGGGATAGGTTTGTGAACTATTTTCAAATAGGATATTCGATTATACAAAAACAAATTCATATGAACAATAGAATTGAAACAAAAATTTCAAAGAATTCACGATATTCTACTTCAATATGTAAATATTTGTCTGATATTTTACCGAAAAAGAAAGTTCATATTAATATGAACTCCTTTTGTTGGTTTTAGATAGAGATAAAAAAAAATGATTTCATCAAGATCTATTTTAATGAAATAATAATATCGAAATATCTCAATTAGCATTTGATACATATAAAACGACATATGAAGAAATAAACGATGTTATTGAAATAGCGCTTTCAATTGGTGATCGTCATATATTGATTATGTTTGGATTTATCACAATGAAAAATTTATTCGACAATCTTTATTTAATCAATTAAACTATGTTAATATCTCAATATTTTTCTTATTCATTGACCAATGGCTTTTATCGATCAGGTTATTTTTATATATATATATTATTTGTTTGAATCATTATCTTTATTTTTTTTTATCGTATAGAATCCAGGTGATAGTAAAGAAAATGAAATAAAAATCGATGATAAAATTGATTTTATTGAAACATAGAAAGCAATAGAATTGTTAGTTGAGGAAGATTTAGTTAAATCAATTGAATTATCAAATTTTAATGAAGAAAAAAATCAAATATATTCTTAATATGTACAGATATAAACCAGTTGTGTTCATCAAGTTGAAATTCATCAATATTATCCTTAAATTGAATTAGAAAAATTTTGTCAAAAACATCAAATTCTTCTTTATTATATTATTATTGATCGAAATATAATTTGTATTGTTAAATCATTACGGAATAAAAGAAAATTTTTATTTATTTAAATAAAATAAATTCAAATAAGTTGAAAAAGATTTTAAGAAAAATTCATAATGGAATTAAAATAAGATTTCGTTGTAATAAAATGGAAGATAGAATCAATTCAAATGAGCATCCATTTCAATCTTAGAAAGATTTTATTCATCGAAATTTATATTTTAAACAAATAGCGAGAAAGGTGTTATTCACGTTTTTTTTTATACGAAAAAATTTTTAATTTTTGAGAAAACACGATGAAATATTTTTACGGATAGATAGTCGAACCAGATTTATTTCATTTGTAAAGACAGAAAACGCTTATTCATGGCTATTCGAATTAATGTTCTGCAACTAGACAGTTAATATTTCAAAATATTTTTACTTTTTCAAATTACTATTTATACAAAAAGCATAGGATTAAAAACTAGTTCGATTATGATTGAACAATTAACTGTAATTGAAAAAAGATTACAGAAGTGAAAATTAATATTGTTTTACTGAGAGAATTCGTTTCTTAATAAAAAAATTCATCTGCAGATACAAAAGCACCATATGACGATGTAACTGAATACATGAAGAGAAAAATGAACTATCAAAAATAAATACTTAGCCAAATTGATCGAATTTTAAAGGCACAAAGACATTAAGTAAATCTTGAATCATTTGTCTTTTTTGTGGAATTTGAGATGATCTCTTTTTCTTTATTGCTGTTTATAGAAGAAACTAAACAGTATACCTTTTCATATAAAGTTACGGGCTCGGTTCGGATATTCAAAAAAAAAAAGTGCGGATCCGAATTCGAGTGCAAAATGTCGTACACATACAGGGCAATAATTCAAATGTACGCAGATATTTTTTTTGTAAAACACGATCTAAAAACGAGCACAAATTTGAACCATTCTTTCCACACAAATGTAACAGACATCTAGAGCTAAGAGTTATGACAGGCGCTATTGATAAACAATGAGAGACTGTATATGAATAGGATCTAGTTATAAAATAAATGAGTTCAATCTGTTATTGTATTTTTAAAGGATTAAGTAAAATAATGTTGAATAAATGTATCTATGATTAGCAAGAACAACTACATTATCTTTCATATATTAATCTCGTAGAAGCAGTACTAATAACTTCTTTTTTTTTTTTTGGTAAAATAAAAAGTGAAATGATTTGTATGTTATTAAAGTGAAGAGGTTAATCCCATCTATTATGTTCATAAAAGAAAAGGAAAAGCAATATTCGAATAATCCAAGATACATCGTGATTAAATACAACGAAAAAGAGAAAACAAATGTTTTTTTGTGTTTTTTTTTTCTTTTTACTTTTGTTGATGTTGAAAATGTTCAGTTAATTGATTATAACGTTCATCATTTTTCTTTTGATTTTCATCAAATTTTTCTGAAAGTTGATTTAATTTTTTTCGAATTTCATATAACATTAATGAAGATACATCTTCTCGTATTAATTTTGGTTCTTCAATTTTGAAATCATCATTTAACTAAAACAAAAAAAAAATCAAATAAATAATAAAATTAGCTTTTTTTTGTTTTTTTTACTTGATTTAAATCTTGAAAAATTGTTTTACTTAATTTATCCTTTACATGTAATTTCATTCTTCTATCTTCAGGTAAAATAACAGATGTATAATCAATAAAAACTTGTATTGTATAATGTGTATTATGAATTCTAAGAACTTTTATTTTAATCCAATGTGAATCAGTTCGATACCAAAAACGTTTAAATTCATCATGAGAAAGATATTGTTGAAAACGGACACGTATTGCAAGCCATGGTAAACATGATACTGATGATGGACAAGCTAATAATTTTGATCGTTCAATATCACATTCATTTCCATAATCAACAAATACAATTCGACATATTTCACCTTAAAAAAAAAATTTCTTTAATTATTTATTAAATCAGATAAAAAAAAAACCTTGAATTGATCTAATCCATGCTCGATAATATCCAATTGTTTCTTCATTTTCACCTTTTTCATTTTTCCATGGAGCTATAACCATCCTAAATAATGAAATTTTTATCAAAAATTACAAATCGATTTTTGTTTTTATTTTTCAAATATTAATATATATATATATATATTTACATTCTTGGTTTAACACAAAGTGGATGAATTGAACGTGGTTCTTTAACATTATATTGATGATAATCAATAGATGCTAATGCTTTATCAACATCATTTGTTGTTTTATCACACATAAGAATATAAAAATCATTATTTTGATTATCATCACCACGATATGATGCTAATACTGACCAATATTCATCACCTATATTTAATATTGTTTGATGACGAAATTCATCTTCTAAATATTCTTCTTTTCTCATATTATTATTCTAAATTAAATAAATAAAAATAATTTAATATTATTTATTAAATTATAAACTAACTTGATTAAGTAAATTAATAATTTGATCATTTATATTTTCATTATTATGATGAAGAATAATTAAATCACTTCCAAGAATACGCATTTCATAATCATGATAATCTTTATATAGAAATATTTTTTTATTTAAAAACAAAACAAAACAAAATTTTCTTTTTTAATAAAAAAAACAAATACAAACTTAGTAATTGATGACATGATGCTAATGTTGTCACATTAGCTAAAGATCCATTTGAAATACCAGATAAACGACATTGAACACAACAAATTGGTTGACGACTCAAACTGAAATTTTAATATTTAATTTTAACAAATTCTACTCGAATTTATTGGAAAATATTCATCATTTATATATCTTTCAATATTATACTTAGAGCAGACCAAAAATTCTGGCCATAGTATTTAAAGAATCGTTTCGGATAAGAGGACCTATTGAGAAATGAAAAATTAAATATCCGATGTTGTAGAGGTTTTTGAGGCGCGTCGAATGATATATAGTAAATCCTATTTTCATCAGACTGTAGAAGAACTAGAGTCAATTTACTGATAGACGACTACATATCTACACCCAAGCATAATAAGTTTCTGAATATTGTGGTCCTTGGTATTAGTCGAAAGTATTTGTAAAATATATTTTCTCACATACGATTTTGTAGAATTTTTGACGGGCTACAACCTCCTATATGTAGCACCTCCTGTCGTCTTGTGAATGTGTAGTCGTCTATCAGTAAATTGACTCTAGGTCTTTCAAAATCCTACGAAAACAAGATTTTTTATATACCATTCGACGCGCCTCAAAAAGCTGTATAACATGGTACATTTGATTTTTCATTTCCTGTCAGGTTCCCTTATCCGAAAAGATCCTTTAAACACTGTGGTCAGAACTTTTCGTATGCCTTAAATATCATATTCTGACTTTTTTTAAAAAAAAAATTTTCGTTTATGAAGATATTATTAACTAACACAATTATTCTTTCACATTCTAATCAAAGAATTTGTTTAACTATCGAACATAGAACCTGTCGAGTAGATTTCGGATAGAATGGGCTTAATAGATCAATAATAAGATCACGGAAAAAATATCATGAAAAGTATCTAGAGTGTATTTTGTCATCAAATTAGAAATTTTCATTGCAAGTATTATCCGTACGAATTGAATCGGGGTTTCGATCAAAAAAATTTTTCGGGCCCGCAATAGACTCTATTACAAAACTATATTTAACTAAGAGTAAGACTCAGCATCCAATGCAATTACGATTCATTGTCTAAATAACCGAAAACACATTCTAATGAAAAAATACGATAGACTGATCGACTCATTTTTAACTATTAAAATTAATGATTTAAAAAATGAATATCTATTATATTAAATAAAGAAAATAATATCCTAAATTGAGTATAAGTATAAAAATTGATCAGAGATTTTCTTTTGGCAAAAAAGAAAAAACATAATTTCTCGAACAAACTTACGATTGTGGCATTTGACGAATATCTAAAAATAAAAAATGAATAATTAAAATAATAAAAATCAAACAAACCAGAAACAGGAATTTGTCGTTCCATTCCCCAATCAATTAAATGAACTGTAACAAGATTATTGTCATCTGTTATTAAATTAATTTTAGTTAATAAACGACATCGAAACCATGATGATTGACTTCTACACATATAGTATCCATCAGTTTTTAATCTAAATAAAGAAAAATTAATTTATTAATTAAATAAGTAAAGAAAAAAAATAATAATATTACGTTAAAATATCAATAGTTGGTTGTTTATCTAAAATTGTTTGTTGAAATGTATCATTTAACATTCTTGTTGCAGCTAACCAGTCTTCATGAAGCATAATATAAACAAATGATAGATGTTCATCAACATGTGACACACGAATATTTGAATAGACTTGTGCACGTTCAAGACGAGGTTTATGAACTGGTATATCAATTATATCAAATTCAAATAAAGAATCATCAATATTATTAACTATTTATTAAAATTAAATTATATATTTATCTTTTTTTTTTTTATAATTTAAATATTTACTTGAGGTATTTGCTAATTGTTCTGTTAATTTCAATTGATTTGATGAACAAGTTGATGGTGTTCGTTTTCTAGCATAAAAATTTGAAAAAGGTATTGTTGAAAATTTTCTTGTTGTTATTGATGATTGATCATCATTTGTATTAACATCAATTTCATAGTCTTCTTGACTATTGTCTTCTTTCATTATTATATAAAAATATTATCTGTATCTATATATAACAAATAATAAATCTTATTAAAATTATATATATATATATAACAATATGAAAAGAAAAGCGAAAAGAAACAAAATCAAAATGATATACATATATCTATGTATGAGCCACGTTGTGTCTATTCTTTCGATAAAAGAATGATACATATTTAACGAAATATAGTTCCAAATAATAGGGGAAATTTTACGACGTAGTTTAATCACGTTCTTTTTCGATGATAACAAATAACATATGCAATTGTTATCTTTCGTTATAGAATAATCACATTCAATTATTTTTATATTCTATGCAGTCAGACATATGAAATTAATATATTGTAACAAATTTAATATTTTTCTTTCTTTTAACTGATTATGCATAATCAAAAATGTTCGAAATTTGATGTTTTAAAGGTGACCTTTTTGACTGTGTGCACATACGATTTGTTTTTCACATTGATTTATACAACGTATCAAAACTAATGAGGAATGACTGTAGTTCTCATAACTTGATATTAGAAACATTAATAAGATACAATGTTTATTAATAAATGATAGGCCCCATATAAGATTAGTGAATAGAAAATCTGTGTAGTTTCATTCTTTTCTAAGGAATCAGTTCGTTACCAAGTTGATGTCAATAATCGAGCAGTAGCTTTCGAGTGAAATTTGTAAGAGATTTTTCTTGGTATAATGATAATAAAATAAAACATTAAAAAAAAAAATTTCTCTCGAAATCTACTGCTTGATTATTGACATTGACTTGGTAACAAGTTGATTCTTTAGAAGAGAATGAAACTACACAGATTTTCTATTCACTAATCTTATATGAAGTCTGTTATTTAGTAATAAACATTGTATCTTACTAATACCTCTAATATCAAGTTATGGGAACTGCAATCATTCCTTACTAATCTTAACCATGATCCTAATTTATAGGGTTATTTCAATATACTCTTTATAGTTAAATACTGGATTTAAAAAGACGAAGCGTACGTTACAGAATATTCTTCTGTAGAAGAACTATTCATATAATTTCCTAACTCAACGAATTATACATCTAACAATAGGGATCTCTTCTTTACTACTCTATATATAGCTGATTGATGTCTATTTATAAATCACTTCAATGATAAGAAAATATTTCTACAAAAATAACAGAATTAAAAAAAAAAGAGAAAACTGACCTGATATTTAATTGTTTTATTCATATGAAGTATTCTATTGTTTACTATGTTTTAGTAGTAATACACTAACTTTTCAATAAAGAATTGAAAGATTTGTACGTTTTATCATTGAAATAATATATACGAATTTGAACCGTATTAGGAAGTTAACTGAAAAAGTGCAGAAGAAAAATGTGACTTTCTGACTCAACTAACTTACTTATTGTTAAGAATATTATCAAACGAAAAATGAATATAAACAAAATATCAATAAAAACTAGTATAACATATCTTCCTGTGCAAAATAAATAGAATATCTATCTCACGTACTTCAACTGTTTGAAGAACAGTGTATAGAAAAAAAATTGGAATAGTGGAAAATAATGATCAAAATTTGATTCATTTCGTAAACTTGAGTATGAACGAAAGAAAAAAGGAAAATTAAAAATGATAAGATTTTTGTTACAATAATGCAAAAGAAGAACAATATAAATGAATGAATGGTTACTACTGTTCCTCCTGTCTATATTGTAACAAAAAAACAAGAAGAGACAAAGAACATCGATGTTATTGGTCAGCGCAATCACTAACAAGAATGAATAAATGTCTTGTGAAAAGAAGTTTTCTCTTCCTATGTACTAAGCAAAAATAATATCAATTATTTGAAACGTTTCTATTTATCAGAAAATATCATTAGGCGCGTCGCTCTGCAACAGTTGAATGATAGCTCTCAATACATTCAATAATTACGCCGCAACGATCTTTAGATAATTTTTGTAGATCATATGGTGTAATCAATTGTACATACACCGACCACTGAGATGTTCTCTTTTTGCGATATTTCGTTCGATGTTTTTCTTCTACTTTTGTAACGTATATTCTAGCACATAAAAATTTCTAGTCTTCGTGTCTAACAAGATAACTAATGTTTTCATTCTAATTAGCAATCATTCATTAATTCTATTTCGTATTTATGAATGCATAAAAATCGATCAAATCATCATTTTCGTCTACTAAACGTGTTAAAATCTATTTATACAAGAAGGAATCAGTTTTAATCAGTTCACTTTTGGATACATTATCTGAACCAGTCATAAAGCATTTACTCATCTGCATGGATATATTCATACATACGATACTACAAAAAGTTTCTTTTTTTGTTTGCTTCTTGTAACAGTGTTAATTCAAATGAAACTATGTTTCTAAAATGCTTAGATATATCTAGAATTATTAGTTAAATTTTAAACTCTGAAATTTGTGCATTTATTTGTGACTAATGCTCTGAAAGATAAAACAGCGAACATATCATTTGTTAGATTATTTCTTTACTAGTGTCACGTTGTCCAATACTACCGTTATCATCTGGTTCATCTTATCTTTCAGCATATTATATTAATAAAAGGAAATTTATTTATGTAAATAATATTTGACAAAAAATAATTTGATGAAAAATAGTCTGAGTTATTTGTTAGTTTAGATTAAAATTGATGAAAAGTATCCAATTGAAAATAGAGTTAATGATGAAACATAAACAATAAAGTCATATCAATAAGGTGAACTTATTTCTCGTAATTGTTGTATAGAAAAAATAACATCCGTTATTGAAAGAAGTATACAATACATAATATAAGAAAGTGGAACACAAATTAAACTCCAAACAAGAAAAAAAAGTTACTCTTGGAATCTAACGTTGTTCATATTCATATTTATATTCAGTTGTTGATTCTAATACTGAACTTAATGCAATATATGGAAAATTTATATATAAGTAATATAAGAATTTCATAAAATTTATAATGAAATCTTGAATTATTATCAAGAAATAAAAATAATATTGAAGTTGCATTCAATATAGAATAACTAATTAAATGTATAACAACATATTTAATTCTTCCACAAGTTGTTTTCCCAAACAGTCTTTGATTATGAATAACTTTTGATAGGAATAAGATAGAGCACTACGGTTTTCACCATTCGAATGAGGAGATGAAGACGCATCAAACTGTATAATATAAGATAATTTGACCTAGGTTTTTTCAAGAACTTAAATCGACATTTTTGAAAATCAACGTACTAGGTAAGGTGACTACACTGACTTTCTTACGATCAGATATGCATTCGAATCGCTAATCGATAACCTACAAAATTATGCAAAGCTCAGACTTTGAGAGTTACTTCTTCAGAAGTTATAGGTATGCTACTCAAAATTCTGAACCGATTTTTCTATTAATTTCGGTGAAAAAAGATCACTTTTTTTGCGTTTTTCTTATTTTATAAGAAACTATTTTTTCAGAAAATTGATCAAGAAAATTCCAGAAAACATCTTGGAAAAATGTATAATACGTGATTCGATGCGTTTTCATCTTCTCTTTCGACCGGTGAAAACCACAGCTCTCTATCTTGTTCCTATCAAAAGTTATTCGCACAATCAAAGACTTTCGGGTTACTTCTGGACCACCTTGTATAATTTACTAATATGCTAATCTAGTTTTACTATCGTCTGAAACCCAATGGAAAATGTCTAAATCATAGAAGAAGACGATCTTTTTCTTTTTTTGACCAATCAAAGAAATTTTCAAGATTCTTTTTATAAAAATAATTATGGAATTTTCTAGAATAATTAATTCCTGTTATTGTATATATAAAATTTAGTTCTTTATATCAAAATAGAAGTAGTGAGATAAAAATGATAAAAAGATTTCTTGATTTTATTTTTGCAGTTAACCATCAAAAGTACAAAGATTAGGACAAAAGAGGAGACAAATAAGAATTAATTTTTGGTCATAATGAGTTTCGAATAAATGAATTTAAAATATAAAAAATTGCGAAAGTTGATTGTTCGAACTAATTGATGGGTATGATGATGATGATGATTCGATTTTATTTTATTTAAAAATAAAAAAAAGAGAGAAATAATCAAATGTTATATAAGCTTGTTTATATGATTGCATAATTTAAGTATCAGGAAGGAGAAGTTTTCTAACAACTTCATCATTTTTACATCTAATAAATGAAATAAAAAATATTAATATTAATAAATTAACTTTAAAAAAAAAATACCCTTTGATAAATTCATCTTTGCTTAATTTCTTATCACCAGTTATATCGAGTTTAGTGATTATTTCTTTGGCCCGTCTATGTGGATCCTTTTCACCTTGACGATCCGTTACTCGAGCACGATCATACTAAAAATGAAATAATATCGATTATCTCGTTAAATAATTCAATAACTACAATCAAACAATAATAATAATAATACCATAGCCGATATGAGATGACCTAATTCATTTTGATCAAGAAGTCCATCATTGGAAACATCCCATCTAAATCAAACTATTCAAAAAAAATCATTAGATTATTTATTAGAAAACTTACAAATCGAAAACCATTTCAAGTCGTTCATCTAAATTACTTGCACGAGCAGTAACAGCAGCAAGAAAAAGAAATTCATTAAAATCAATTGCGTCATCATGATTTACATCTATTATATTAAATACGGTACTTTGCATAGAAAAATAACATAAAATTAATTATATTAATCATTATGAAACAATATAAAGATATACTTGCATGTTAAAAGTGCATCACTTTTTGGATAAAGATGTTTATAAGTTTCAAGAAATTTACTTCTATCGATTTTACCCGTTGGATATTTACGAAGAAATTCCTATTTAATTAAATCATATTTATTATTGTTTAAAATCATATCAATTCAACATACTTCATTCCATAATCTTATTTCTATTTAAAATTGTTAGAAGTACAGTAAAAAAAAGAAAAAGAATTAAATTTTTTTTTTTATAAAATATAATACAAAGTATAAATTACCTTTATCACTTAAATGTGAAGTTTTTCTGAGCATGTTTAATTCTGTATATATTTATATGAACAATTAATCATCAAATATATTGTCAAAAGAACAAACCTTTTTGAGTTAAACTCATTGTATTTCGTTGTTTTCGAGTTCTTCGTTTGTCCATTTTTCTTGTTTATAATATTGTGTGATAAGTCAACTCGAAAATCTAAAATCGAAATTTTTTCATCTATCTAAGCTAACACTCAATTTCTATCGTGAGTCACTAAGTTAGTTACATAGAATATTCTGTTATTTAAATAATACATATTCAAATTGGTAACGAACAAAAAATACTATACAATGTGTATATATACTAAATTTAGATAAAATCAAATCACAAGTGAAAAGATAACTAATGACATGCTTCATTAATCGGATAAGTAACGAAAGAATAATAGACAACAAAGAAAAAGCAAACATATACAAAGTAAAGAAAATAATACGAAGACATAATTATGCTTTTACATTAACATAGTTACAAAAAAAAACACATTGTCAAAAAATACCTGTACAAATAATATCTCTTTGTTCTGACTGTAGTTATGCATGACTACATCATATATAATATAAATATATCAAATATTGAGTAAATTTATTTTAATTGATTAAAAAAAAATGATAACACTTTTTTATTTGAATTTAGTAAAAGAGGAAGGATAATAAGGACATTTTGCTTCCTAAAAAATTTTTGGAAAAGAAACTATGGCGATGATAAGTCGCTCATGGGCGTACTTATTTACCTTAGTTCGACATCAAGATTTTTTTGAACCTATACCTCCATCTACAGCTTACCTGAAAATTTTTTTTCGGCTCAAATACATGCCACAGTATAGAATCAATAGTGCTGATCACAAATATCACTGTATTTTTGATTAAAGTCTTTTCGTAAGTCAGGATGTGAAATTTTTGATGCTTTTGGTCTTAGACAAAAATTGGAGATTTCCTGTAGTTTTTGAGTCATGATCGGCTTAATTTAGCGCTCTAAATTTTTGAAAACATATTTCAAATAGGTAATTGACTATTCTCTATCTAATAATGTAAATATTACAGCATCTTAATACACAAAGCAGCTTTTACAATTGAATTACGAGCAAAAATTCTTAATAGATCTGATGAACGATTCTTTATGAAGCCATATTACATCGTCATATATCTATATTAAACATTTTCTAAGTAGAGAATTTTGTACACCATGTCTCAAAGTAGTGAGAAGTTAATTTTGTGCGCAATAACAAAAAAAACAAAATATAAACTTTTGTATAGATGAAATTGTCTACAGAAATCTTTGACACTATTAATGGTTTTTACTCAAACTATCGAATAATATACTGTTTAAACTATCTAATTAAAATTTGTTCATTAGAATTCATTGATATATTATAATTATTTATTTATTAAAGTCTTACATAAACTCATCCGTATGTGACAATCACAATATCCCAAAAAAAAATCTTTAAACTATGCAGAAACCATCGAAGAAATATGTCATTTACGTAGAAAGAAGTAAGTGCTGTAGAATTGGATATATTCAAGTTATCAAGTTAAAATTTGAATATGTTTTGTTTTGAACAATCAAAAAATTTCGAGCTGCTATAACAGTGGTATATAATAAATGACTTGTAACTCTGATCACTGGTTCATTTGTTCAGGTCTACCTGTCATTTAAGGTAGTTATTCAATTCCTTCATCAAGTTAGACTAAGACCATCACAACATAGTATCGATGGTGACTCAATTCGAACCTGAGATGGACTAAGATTTAATTTTAAATATCATATGACATGCGTCCAGACACAAGAAATGTTTCATATGAGTGATGTATAGACCCCTTCCTTCTTCCAGTTTCGAACGCGCATCAAACGCTATTCAAATACGTTTTGACTTAAAAAAATATAAACATCAATTATGTCTCATCCACTATTTGGTTAAAACACTAAAGAAAAAATTTTGCACTATTACCACCGTCTTCTACTGTGAATCAGAACCGCCAGTTCCGTTGCTTTACGATGTTTGTATCAATTTTCTGCCAATGTCTTTATTAAATTGGTATCATTTGTCGTAAAAACATCGATTTCTACTTTAAAATGCTGATTATAATAATTACAGTCACAGTATATAATGTTGGATTACACTGAATTTTTTTCTATTACTTCATTCTTCCAATTCATAATTTATTTGTCACAGGTTTGGATGTCGGTGAGGATGGATGTGTATGCAACGTTCTCAATCGCACACACGCCCTCACATACACCCTCGTCAAATAACATGATATATGGGTTTGTAAAGACTTTGATACTGAATATTTTGATTAGAAAAGATAAATTGATCAAGTAAATAGAACAGATCAAAGATTTGAAAATCCTATTCTTATAATTATTGATGCATCACCCATTATTTCAAAACATTATTCAAAAATTTCCATGAGCTTTAACCCTTTGAGTCCTGAATTTTTTCTACTAAACCGAATTTGATGAAACTTGGAATAAACTAACTAGGTGACATTATGAAGCATGTGGTTAAATTACAATTAAGAAAGCACGTGACCACATGAAGATTAAAACATTTTTGTTATTGTTGTATTTTAATAAAAAATTGCTATTATAATTACTGAAATATGCATATATTTCATTACTGATACACGTAGTTTTTATGATACAACAAAAAACAAATTTTTACACAAAGATTAACACAACAAAAGTTACAAATCTTATTCATCCTTTTCTCTCTTTCTTTTGTACTTCAATAAGTGCATCGACGATAAGTTGAAATAACTTCTGACATGTCAGCCGAAAGTTGTGGTTTTTCATAACTTTCTGTGTTACTTATGTTCCTTTCAATGCGTTTCTTTTTCTGATTACTTATCGCCAAAGGTTTTCTTACCCTTTTTCTACTACAATAATCATATACCAGTGCGATACTAATAAACGGCACATATTGTAAATATGCTCGAGTACTAAATTGGTCAAGTCAGTGGCTTCGATATGAATAACCTATAGTGACTCGATGTTTGGACACATATAAACAGATGTGTATTATATGTAGAGAAGACAATTCTATTGTTGAGGATTGATGTAAATAAAACAAATGAATTTAATCTTTTGCAAAGTACTGAACCATCATAGTGCCTCAGATATACGTATCTCACGGGTATAGATTTTGAAGAAAAGAAAAATAATAAAAAAAATTTTTTTTAATCCAGGTTATGGAGGTAAAACATTTTTTGGACCAAAGAAACTTGACATGGTGCACTTCTCAATGTCTTCCATACATCCTATCACTCGTGCAATCTTCTACGGACCTCTGCTAGCTTCTAATATTTATTGAAAATATTTCTCTAAGATTCTCAAAAATTCGAAGATTAGAAAATTCTTCAGGTGGTACATATGTATACCATCGGGACTTGAAGGATTAATTATATTAGAGCAAATAATTTAGATATTTAAGAACCTTGGATATTAATTGTTGTCATAGATTGATACGATAATGTGTCAACATAGAAAAACTAGAATTGAACTTTCCTAAAACAAGAGAGAAAGTATTCCTATACAATTATGATTCTCCCTACGGATTATATACACTTGATATTATGACTATGTTTATACAGTAACAATGTAAGATTATTTCGAAGCATCTGAAAGTTCGAAATTAACCCTTTGATTGTGGGTTTAAAAAAAAATTAAAATTTCTTTTTTGCTATATTTTTGATCGTAAATCAATCTGTAGTTCTAGTTTATTAAAAAAATTTATAAATACGGATGTTTAGAAGTTTTTCAAAGTGTAGTATAGTTCAAAACAATTTACAACACATAAACCAACACTGCGTTGAGCACATTCATATCTTGTATCAATTCCTTTTTTTTTTGAATCTCTTGTTATATTACTGCAGACATGACATCTTCGTCTCTTTGTTTCTACAGATATACCTTCAGCTGAACAACCTTGAATAAATGAAGAGAATTATCCAGCGGCGAGTCTTAATAGATTTTCTAAAGATGGTCTCCCTTTTTTTTCTCGTTCTTTTGACTTCTTAAAAGATTTGACGATAGATCGGATCATTTTTTGATTGAAAGTCTGATAGATGCATCGTTTTCCCGATCTTGAACTTGTATAAAATGAAGGCATTGAGTAAAGTAGCATCAAGCAGATGGAAAAACAATTTTAACATATCCTTTTAGACAAAAACGTTTCTCGTGAAGATTTTAGGTTTTAGCAAAATTTCACGTAGGAGTCAGTTATGTTATATTTATTAGGCATTGCTAATTATCACAGTAAAAGAATTTATAACTCAAATTACACCAAAAAAGCGTCTGAGAAATGCTTTAACGAAAATTGATATCACTTATAATTCTATGAGTGTCAATATACCATGAAATTACTGTGACATATATTTGCGTCAATCGTAGTCAAAGGGTCAATGTAGTTTTCTAGAACAGAGTAAGAGTTACATATGTAGAAAAAACGGCGGCAGTCTTTGTGGATAATACAGAAAACGAGTATCTTAGGTAGTCATCCAACTATGTTTGTTTCTATATTTGGTGGATATCTGTAGCAAGAGTACTCACTCTAAATCATACGTATAACATTTATTTTTCTACACAGTTTTATGAAGCACTTTCTGCTGCATCGAATGATAGATGTAATCGTTGTTTCTTCGCTCGGTTTAATGATCCAATATCCCATAAGAGTAATGAGATATAGTATGCATCTCATATACTACTCATAATGTGTGTGATCGAATCAGTAGAGAAAATGTAATCTAGCTACAGTTATTGTACAATTAGATAGTAGAATTAATTACGTTTCAAACGATATATCATTATTAGAGAATTTCTTAAAATTTTCAAGTTGTATTATTTTTACTATGAAATCTACCTCGTCTTTTTTATTAATACGAAGGTTTGAGTAATGATTCATAGCTTAATTTTAAAGTTCAATGGCTCACCTCCACTAAGATCCGCTTTTTCATTCCTGCCCTTTGTCCCTTGGAAAAAAAATCTTCCTATGGAAATGTAGGGATAAAATGATTTTGCACAAACGAAAGCAATTTCTTCTTCATATTAGACTGTCTCATTTTCAAGACTTTGCCGCCCTTCGTTCCATAAAAAATGTTTGGACATGTATCTGGCAAGAAGTTATAAGAAAAACATACAACATCAAATTAGACAGTGGCAAAATTTTGGAAAAGAGTCCACTGCTAACAGCAAGAATTAGCACGAAGTTGCTTTAAGGAATCAATTGATTCGATTTTGCACAGATATGAAGAACGAAACGGTTGATTCAGTCAGAAATCATTTCTCGATCTTCGAGCATTTACTTGATTACAAGAATCGACACGATGAAAAGCAATGCTTCTTTATGGATCTGAGTTTCATGGCTTTGTCTTATGCTTCAGATTATGCTCTCTCCTTTCATTCTTCTCTCTTTCTTGTCCTTGGATGTGCTTTCCTTCACCTACATGTTGGCTATTTGTATGTGTGCATGCCTCGATCACATTTTCGTTCTTTTTTTTTTCGAATATGGTTAATTTGTTTTTGTATTATTCTTGATGATATAGTTATGTTTGAGACATTTCATAATGAGTGATATATTATGTACATCGTGAATATTGCTGTGGCAATTGCATGGGTGAATCAAGTTTTACATTCGATTTGACGATAGATTAAACGAGTTTTTACGATGAACAAGAATTTTAAGGAAAAAAAAAATCAATTTTTTTCTACATAAAGTTCAATTGATTATGAAAATCATATATGTAGATTAGTTCATTTTAGTTCAAATGATGTTTAAGCTTTCAATACTGCGGATTCAGTAGTGATCGACAATATGAAGAATGAAATAAACAATGAAATTTGTTGTATATGAAGTTAATTATGTATTTGAAAAGAAAATACAAATATGAGTAAAGAATGTTTGAAATACATGTTATGTTTGCTTGGCATATTTTGTCTAGATGTAGATGATGACATTGAGTCAACATATATCGCACTAGAGAATGCTGCAAATGAAACAACAATTTTCATCTCTTTTACTTGGAAAGATTTTTTGTTTTTCATTAACGCAATTTGTATTGTCGCATGCATAGCTTCTATATTTTTTCTACCTATTTTACAAACAGTTCTCATCCACATTATTAATGTAGTGTAGCTCGAACAATTTTTACTCGTTAAGAAAAAAATATAGAAAGCATTATTAGTCGATTAACTATAAACAAAAATTTTAAAACGAAAAAGAAATGAATAATGAGTAGAAGCGAGAAGAGTTACCTTGCTACGCCAATTATGACTCATTGGGTGTGGTTGAAAGAAAGAGAAATGTGTAGCTGGTTTTCAAACCGGTTGCTTATATAACATTATCTACAATATAAATATACAAAACTATCCATATTACTTTGCATACACCTTCTTATTATACGACAATAAGAATATTATCATGGTCGACATATTTGCCGATCCATCATTGGATATTAATTATTGGCCTCGTTTTCTCATGCAAGTATTTATTATTCTTGTACTTGTTCGCCTTATGGGATGGTTACTTGCATTGATAAAACAACCACCAGTAAGAAATAATTCTTATATAGTATATTTTTTTTATGAATAATAGATATAGGTTATTGGTGAGATTATTGCTGGAATAATCGTTGGTCCTTCAGTATTAGGCAAGATTGATTTTTGGTCAGAACGTATATTTCCTCCATCATCATGGAACTATTTTACATTAGTCGGTAATATTGGTCTGATTTTATTTATGTTCAATTTAGGCTTAGAGCTTGAACAGAAACAAATTAAACGTCAATGGAAATATTCTCTTCCAATATCTATTGCTACAATTATTATACCGTATGGAGCTGGTGCAGCTCTTTCGTTCTATTTATATGATATTAATACTCGAGATGGATTTCAACCGCCTGATCGAACTGCATTCGTTCTATTTGTAGCATCAAGTATGTCATTTACTGCTTTTCCTGTACTTGCATCTATACTTACATCGACTAAACTTTTATCGGCTCCAATTGGTACTCTAACAATAAGTTGTGCAGCATTGGATGATGTTATGGCTTGGTGTTCATTGGCTATTGCTGGTGCATTTGCTAAAGAATCAGGTATTGTTGGTTTATGGTAAGTATAGTTAAAATTAAAAATTAATATTAACAATTAACAAATCATCTTTTTCTTGTCGATATATCTATAGGGTAGTATTAATTTCCATTGGTTATGTTCTATTTATGTTTATTATTGTTCGATGGATCATTAAACGAATACATACATTTTTAGTTGAACGTAATATGGAAATGAATCGTACATTTCTTATTGGTATATTTCTACTTCTTATTGCATCAGCATTTTTTTGTGATATACTTGGTATACATTCATTTTTTGGTGCATTTGTTGTTGGTATTATATGTCCAAAATCAGGACAATTTAATGTTGAATTATTTCCAAAAATAGAATTAGTTACTGTTGAATTATTATTACCATTATTTTTTGCTGCCAGTGGTATGAAAACAAGTTTAGGTTCATTAAATAATAAATTTTATGGGGGTATAACTGTACTTATTTTTACTATTGCTGCATTAGGAAAATTTTTACCAGCATTATTTATGACTAAAATAGTTACAAAACATTCATGGAGATTTTCCTCAAGTGTTGGTATATTAATGAATACACGAGGTTTAGTTGAACTTATTGCATTAAATATTGGTCTTCAACTTCATATTCTTTCACCTCGTCTCTTTACTATGTTTATTATAATGGCACTTGTAACAACATTTATGACATGTCCATTACTTTGGTTGGTCTATATTCGAAAATATAAACCTGAAGAATTTCATGATGAAACAAACGACACTGAACAAGTTGTTTCTGAAGATTATGATCTTCACAAAGTACCAACAGCACCGATTTTTCTGAGATTTTAAGACAGAAAGTATAATGAAAACTTCATTTTTCCTTGTCATGTACATTCATCTTTTTTGATTATGTAAATTTTTTCACTTGTATTGAATAAAAAGATTCCAAGTCGCAACCTCAAATCCAAATTGACTTATTGACCACGGCTAGTTTTGATCAGTTCTCTACTTTTTAAAGTTAATAACGTTATTATAAGAACAACATTTTAGATATTATCATGAGTTTACCTAACGAATTTGTATATTTACGTTAAACAACAAAACATATAACGTAATTGAACAAAAGAAGGACGAAACGACTAGCCTTTTTTTAGTCAATAATTCTTGACTGGTATAAGTTGCCATTCTAACTACGTCATTGACCTATGTCACCACTATCACTCATGTCTAACCGGTTTTTTGCAAAACATCGCCGTCTGAGACTAATGCAAAGTTGATCGAGATGAGATCGATTTAAGAAGGGTTGAATACAATCTACTGAAAAATACTGTAATCTCAGTTGTAATTAGAATAGCTTCAGAATAAGAACGGTCAGTGATTTGAAATTTTCAGTGTATGAAGACAACATCATTTTGTTAAACTATTTAAAAACCAATTGATAAATAGATACTAAAGTGGTCATTCAATGCTAAATATTTTCTGGGACAGTAGTCTGAAAAGTTTGTAATTACACGTTTTGCATTTGTAAAGTAAACTTAACACAAGAGCTTCTTCTCTTCATTCTTTCAAGGTTTCAGCATTTTATCTGCTTTTATTTAAGAACTGGACAATATCTACGGAGCGCCTGTCTACTAGTCAAAAACAATACTTTTATGAATTAACATCAGCTAGAATTTCATTTCTACATAGATTTTCTACTATGCTAAGTCGAATGGTGCTATTAGTTTCTTACTAGGATTGGTTTGACTTCGATTTAGTCAGTAGATAAACATTTTTCAGTAATTAAATGTGATATAGCTGTACGAAATCGATGTTTTTTCGGCGTCTCTGTGATATTAACCGATGTTGCTGAAAAGTAAAAATGTGTTGATTTGATGTTTCTACAGAATAGAATTCGTGAGAGATAACATAACATATGAATCATCTATGAACAGCCAGTACATAAAAGATACTACTCTAATGAAAATGAAGAATAAAGCTGTCGATTAACTGGACGTTGGTTTCCCTAATATTGACAGTCGGACGATAACTATTGCTTGGCTCGCTGTTAGTGCCGGTGTCGATACTAGTACTTATGTGTGTGTTATTGCGGTCAGAGGAGCATCTGTCGATTTTGCGCATTGATATATTCTTTACAAGTCGATTCGAATAATTCTCTGACAAGGGAACTTTTTCAGGTGCTAAAAAGCTTTTTGATCGGAAGTAGGCTGGTTAGATGGGGCGTAGTGAGAAGCGATAAATCCTATATTAGTTCGGGCGCAAGTTGCTTCTAGTCGAAGTTATGAGTTTTTCAAGTTACACCAAAACCTCTCATAGTGGACACCTCCTTATAGTGGACACTTTTTCATGATCCCTTTTTCATAAATAACCTCTCTATAGTGGACACTGATTATAAATTCAAAGACTATGACGCGATGACTATCGTTACTCATTCAACATAATGACTCTTTATTGATCGGACGGCAGAATGAAACAAAATACATCTTAGTGGAAAAGAAAGGCCACATTCTTTGTCTTGAATATATATATAATCGTATTGTAATATTTGTGTTATTTTGTTACCATCCTTAAGAGAAAGAAAACGTTATGTCGAATTGACGAGCATTAAGTCCAAAAGAAAAAATTGTACTAATCAAAGACAATCAAAATGGTCATGGTTTATCGGTAGAAAAACTGGCTGACAAATACAACATATCAAAAAGTAGTGTGACCAACATTCTACATCGCCAAGAATAATTCTTCACTGATTATGCCGTCAACTCGAACAAAGGCATAAAATGAAAGTATAACGACGAAAATGGACAAACCATTGATCAACTGGCATTCGAATGATTTACTGTTCAACGATTCAAGGGAATAGCTATTCCAGGGTCTATGCTACAAGAGAAAGCAAGACAATTTGCCAAAGAGTTGGGACATCCATCAGGTATATTCAGAGCTTCAAATGGTTGGCTGGAGAAGTTTTGTATTCGCCACGATATCTCCTTTCGAATGATTCTTGGTGAAGCGCCTCTATTGATAGTTCTATCACCGAAGAATGGATAAAAAGATTACCAACACTATTAGATAGATACAATGAGAAAGACGTATTTAATACAGACAAAACGGAATTATTCTACCGTGCGACACCTGATCGATCGTTGGTACTGTCAAAAGAATATTGCAAAGGAGGAAAAAAAAGCAAAAAACCGATTCTCCATTCTTTTGTGCTCAAATTGGGCCGAAACTGGAAAACTGAAGCCAGTTGCAATCGGTAAGGAGATCCGCTGACTGGTTGTGTAGCTCATGCAACTTCTGTTTGTTTTCAGGCAAAAGTCTGCCCCCTCAATGCTTCAAAAACATTGTTGTATCTAAACTGCCAGTCACTTGTCTCGCAAATCGCACTATCTGGATGAATTGCACCTTGTTCATAGATTGGCTTGGAGATGTAAACGCTCAAATGAAGAAGACTAATCGTAAGATTATCCTTTTTCTTGACAATGCGCCTTGTCATCTAATCAACTACGACTGGTCGAATATCAAACTTGTCTTCTTTCCTCGAAATACTACTTCCACGTGTCAACCACTTGACCAAGGAGCCATCTATTCGTTCAAATGCTACTATCGACAGATATTAGTTAAACATATTATTGCTCAATGTACTTCTGCTCGAACTGTAGATCAAATTACAGTAACTGCTCTTGATGCAATATGGCGGATCGATTTATTATGGAAAAATATAATGGAATCGACCATTAAAAACTCATTCCGAGCTGTCGGTTTTGTTCACTCTTCTTCTACATCATATTTCTCTACAGATTATAGTCCTGCTATGGCGACTGAAACTGACTCAGACTCGAACAATTCTAACGATCCTCTAAAACAACTTGATTCTCTATTGGTTCATGTTCGAATTGGTGATCAGCAGTTGACAACTGTTGAATATGTCGACATTAATTTTTCAATTCCAGCATTTAACGAATGTGATGATGATGAACATGTCTCTGGAGCTGAAAAACCATCGAATTTGCCTGAAGTAATGGAAATGATGAGAAAGCTTCATATTTTTGCCTCTAATCAACAGCCTCAGCTACACAATCTTATATCTGATCTTGAATCGCAATTAACTGACATTTATCTGGACTCGAAAGTAACGAAGCAAAGTTCCAGCAAAGATTATTTTGACACTTGTTGATTTTTCTATGTTCAAAAATAAAATACAGAAAAAGAAAAAGAAAAAGAAATATCGTGCTCTATCTGATTATCCTATTGACTAATATTCCGGATGATTAGAAACATGTGCACTACCTTAGAAAAGACATTATTATTTTGGACAACATATAACCTCTGTATAGTGGACATCTCTCTATAGTGAATACTTTTGAAAAGTCCGAAGAGTGTCCACTATAGAGAGGTTTTGGTGTAAATATAGAAGTTTATAAGAGATAATTACATTTTTTTAATTGATGTGTTTGAATCTATGGGATCAATCAGATTCATGTAATTGTTCTGTAATATAAATCAATGTTTGTTTTAATAGAGTTCATTTTTCGTCATATACTTGTCCACTTTGATCAACACCATAAACAAGATCAATGGGAACATAAGATGAAGATAAAGATTCATTATCTGATGGTAACATAGATGGAAAGGCTGTGAGAGTCACGAGTCTATAAATATTCAATTGTTGAGATGAGATATTTATGTTCCATATTTTAATGTTGTAGCAACACTAATTAAAGGAATATAATTGGATCTTCAACTGTGAACATAAACTATCGATAAATATGATTGATGTTTAATTCTAATCTTCGATGAAAATGAAATTGATTCAGAATTGAAAGATATAACAGTTTTTACATAAGTTGACTATTGAATATTACTAGCTGAATTTGGTCCATATGGATTAGTGAATTGATTTGAAGATTGCTCGTATCATGATTGATCATTCCTTACTAACACATTTGAAAGCAAACAATGAAGATGAAATTTATCGTCGCATGATAATAATCAGAAGAGATGCATCTAATTTTAATGCATTTAGACATATTGAACAATCATCATTTACATTTACCGATGAAGCAATAGCATATGGCATATTGTTTTCTCTTCTTTGTTGTTAAACACGAGTTATTGGAAATACGACACAAAACAATAAGTATATGATTTTTATATAGTTTCACATAACAAACTTATTTAACTATATTCTCACACAAATATGTATACACACCAATAAGTAATGACTATTGTAACAGATAATAACAAAATTTTTCTCTGCTAATTCAGTACAACTATATTTATACGATGACATTGAAAATAATTCGAGTCAAACCGATTAAAGTTTATGTAAAAAATAACTTTTTATCACATGAAAATTCCTAATGAAAAACTCAATCAAAAGTTTTTTTTTAAAATAAATATCGTATATTTTTTCATCTCATATATTGAATATAAACTTAAATAGATTACACATTCAATAACTATACAACATGATATTTATTTTTGTTTAATAAATATTTGTTATGTTCTGTTTTGATCGTTGTTAAAAGACAACACATGATTCGATAGTTTATTATTATATATTTTTTTTCTTCTCTTTTCGAACATCAAAAATTCATGGTAAACGACGAATAGTCCTCATACTGTACAGTCTGATTCTGTCTTACATAAAAACAAATGATTCTTATCAAGATCGTAACAATAATAAGCCTGTTATATTAATAATCATATAAGCTTACACTTGATTTGAATTTTGAAATTTTTAATTCTCTAGAGCTTTTATTGCAAATCAAATGCTTGTGAAAGAGAAAGATCACATATTCTAATCAGAACATAATTCAATACTTAAAACATTTCTCATAGTGATAAATTAATCGTTGCTCAACTAAATACATTACAATTTCGATTTTACAGAAATAAAACAAAAAAATTAATTTTTTTCTTGCATTGATAACGTCAAGTACTCTTAACCTTATAGTGTATGTTAAAATTCCTATTGAAAAAAAGCCAGTTTATGTATGTATGGTACACAGACATTGTGATTGAGTGCAACAAAATAGAACATTGTCAAATAGAACAAACCATAATAAATAAAGTAAGTCAGAATGAATGCATACAATAAACTATTATTGTGAGCTTATGTATATTAACGATAACTTTTTTTTTCTATTGTTTCAAAACATTTTCTTCATAAGATACCAAACAATCGATTTAAAATTTTTCTTCCGTAGTTTTACTTGTTATATGCATATGAAAGATGAGATTTAAGGTTGAAACAAATAGTTTTCAAGTGAATTTAACCGAAACTACGGTTAATATAATCTTTGATACTCATCAGGATAAGTCAAGAATAGTTTTCGTTTCTCTTTAACATTTTTGGTTTCGATAATCTTCGTTAGATAGATTAATAAAGATATTAATACTTTATTATTGAACTTTTTTCATTAAGTTATAAAATAATATAGAAAGTCATTTTTAACATATTGAAGAAAATCAATTAAGACACAAACAAACACTTTAACATTTTCTTATTTACTATTGAAATATCAATTCAGTTAGTTATTTGATTTTTTAGATTAAGTAATGATTAACTATTTTTATCAATTTGGAGATTATCAAGTTTATTTTTGATCACATATGTTTCTTGATTATTTTCGTTAAATGAATCTTTCCTGTTATTTCAATAAGTTTCAATCATCCTTTGAATATTTGTTTTTAAAACATATTTAAAAAGTGTATTTGTCAATTTAGTTTCTCAAAATTGTTAAAATATTTTTCTTTTAATTGATCAAGCGTAATTGAATTAACAAATCTTATGAGTGAATAACTATCTTCGAGAGAAGTTTCATTGATATTTGTGATTCATTCGTACATTGAATTAAATAAAAAAGAGTTTTTCATTTCATAAAATAATAACGTCAACGTACATAACGTGTATTAATATCAGAATAAATAATATAGTTTGATTAAGTGTATGAACAATGTTGATATGACTATGGTGAGTTTAGTATAAACAGTCAGCTATTTATATAATCTACTTCGAACTACAAACCTAAACTTATCGTTAAATACGAGAACTCATTATTGATGGTTGTTTTTTAAGTAGCAATGATCAGCGTTTTGTTTTATTCTTTAAAATCTTATCTTTCATTCGTGTATAACAAGCGAAAAATTTGAAATTAATTTTGATATGCTTAAGGATAATTCAGGTTCTGATTCTCAATAATTTTGTTATTGAGAGCAGCTCAGAATTCTTTATAAATTCGCTAGAACTTGATTTTTAATGTGTCTAGCAAAACCAATTGAGATTAAGCATTCATTCAACAATTGTAATAATGATTATACATTCTCTTGAATAGTATCAGTGAGATTCCATATTCGCCATATTTCAGGTGAATGGAAAATTGAAAAATAGTGCTCAAAGAATATCTTGTGGATAAATGTATTCACAGTTTTTTTTTGTTAGAAAACGGATTTTATCAATTGATAGACAAGAGATTCGTTTAGATATCTTGTGAAGAAAATGTTTCGAATCAATAAAAAAAAATTTTTTTACAATGGTCTATAGATTTTTAAGTTTGATTAATAATGGCTCAAGCAAGTCATATGAATACTAAGCCAAAACAGTCGATTCGATGGCGAATTTCTAGAAGTAATGATCAATTAAATAGTGGATTGCATCCTAGTCAACGAAATGTTCAACATCATATTGAATCAAGTGTTGATAGAACAGATTATTCTAATACTCGTATTTGTATATGTCAAACAGCTAGACATCATCGTCTGTATTTATTCATCTGATTCTTTCTATTCTCTATTTTAGCTAACTTACCAATGAAAATAAGCAATAGAATATCTTCAAGTAGTTCATCGACTAATAATACACAAATTAATCAAGGACAAAATATTTCTATTGATTTACGTACTTCTTCTAGTAAGTTTCTCATCGAGAGAAAATCTTGAAAAATTAATTAATCTATTTTGTTCCATATAAAGATCTACAAACTAAGAGAACATCAATTTTATCTCCGACAACAGATAGTACAAGTGATAATATCAATAAATTGACAACTTTTTCCTTTCAAAGAATAAATTCTCAACTACAAAGAATAAATTCTCAACGAAAACGAAAATCACATTTAATCGAGTATGTTATTCTAAAATAATAATATTAAATCATTATTTTATTATCTTATGAAATTTTAATAGAAATACTGCACAATTAACTCGTGAATGTGTTATTTGTTTATTAGATCAACCAATTTATTTATTTGAAGAACGTTATAGTAATCAATGTGAACATTTTCAAAGAACAATATGTGATACATGTGTTTATAATAATATAAAAACTCTTGTTGAAAATGTGATAAATAATCATATATGTTGTCCTGAACCGAATTGTATGGCTATATTTAATTTTGAAAATATTCGTTATATTCTTACAATGGGAAATAATTTAGAATTATTTGAACGATATGATCGACAATTAACATATCAACATCTTGAACAAATTCAAGAATTTATTTGGTGTGCACATAATGGATGTGGTTCAGGACAAATACATAATATGAACACAACATATTCAAATCCAATGGTTACATGTATTAAATGTAAAAAACAAACATGTGCTTTTCATCGTATAAAATGGCATGTTGGTATGACATGTCAAGAATATGATCAATTAAAAATATCATCGATTGATGATAATACACAAATATGGCTTAGAAATAATTCAAAAAAATGTCCATTATGTCAATCATATATTGAAAAAATTTCTGGATGTGATCATATGACATGTACAAGATGTAAACATCAATTTTGTTGGGAATGTTATGCTGATTATAAAAAAATTCAAATTTATGGTCGTAGACAACATATGAAATCTTGTACACATTATTTACTTTATACTCATTCAAATAATCATTTTTATAGACAAAGATTAATAAATTGTACTATTTTATAGAATCATATCAAATATCGTCATTTTCAACATTTATATATATATATATATATACATACATTAAACTCTATTTTTTAAATGTTAACTAATTCATGTGAATAATTTTTATATGTAAATAATATATTTAAAGGCACTCACCCGCTTTCTCGAATTTCTCAAGAATGGCTTGACCAAAAATGATGAAACTTTCAGGGTAGATAGATCTCGACTAGTAGAGTAAAAGTTGTCATAGACTCAGAATTCTCAGATACTCCCTTCTATGAGATTATAGAGAGCGCAGAGGTCAACAATGACCTGAAGTTTTCTCCCTCGCAAACAGTCAAAATTTATTTTTTATACCTGAAATTTTTTTGTAGCAACTAGGATCAAATCGAGGTGTATATATATATATATTTTTTTTTTCTTTCAAAAATATTGTTTCCTTCGCTTATAGGAACTGAAATACTGGAAGTCCTGTCAAAAAACGTATTTTTTTCCCTTAGAGCAAATTTTGTAAGATTTTCCGGAAACCATCAGAACATTATTTAAAGAAAGGAAAACTACATATACACTCTGATTTAGTCCTAGCTGTCACATAAAAAATTTCAATTCAATCAGTCGAAGCATCTGGGAGAAAAACTTCAATTTTTCTCTAACAAAAGTTAATTTTGAGGAAAATACAAAACAACGTAAAACGAGATTTTTTTTCGATATTTCGTGTTTTTCATTTTTTTACGCATAGCTATCAATTAATGCACTTGCCAGACGCCTAGGAGGGTGCAATCTCTAATCCACACAACACAAATTGATGATGAAATAATTATATTTGTATAGATTATTTACAACACGATAGAACTATAGAATGGAATCTTTTGTATCAGGGATCTCTAAAGTTGGGTTTTTTAAAGATCTAGATAAATATAAAAGCTTTTCGTTTATATGCTATTCGATAGAGAAATTCGTGTAAGTATGTGCTCATGAGAATTGATTAAAAATAGTGAAGATGAACTGTATGTGCCATATCATATGAAATATCATGGATCATTTTTATTATATTGAAAATACCTAATGAAACTAACCATTTAGTTTTAATATTCATAAAAGTAATTGCAAAACAATGATTTCATCAATTAACAGCAATTAAGATTACAAAAACTCCAGTACGAAAAACTCACCATAGAAAGAGATACAAATCGTTTTTAGATTATTATCTGAAAAGACTTTTTTATGAGTTGATGAATGTGAGAAACAATTTTCTTTAGATATAAAGCATCTATCTTTTTCCTACATAATTAATCTCTAATATCTAATCATCGAAAATAATTACAATCAAGAAAACAATTATTTCTTAGTATTAGCAATAGTAGAAAAAGAATTTTGTTTTTGTTTATTTCGCATTTGAAATCAAATTAAAAAAAAATACAATAGCTTAAACTTGTTTACTAATATTTTTCAAAAGAATTAATACAAGAATTTATTCATATAGATTTTAACATGGTGGATATTTTGTTTGTAAATAAGCAATTAAAGCTTGTGTTTGTGTTATATTAAATTCATGCCAAATAGTAATAGATGGATCGTTAAGTTCTGTATCTTTGAAATAAGTTATTGTACCAATAGAATAATTAAAAGTAGTTTTTGAAATATCTAATCCATCTACTAACCAAGTTTTTCCTTGATCGAGAGTTTCAATTCCACAATATGTTGTAAATCCTCCACTACCTTTCATTGATATACCACGAGTTAATACATTAGCAAGATATGAACCAGGAACAGAAACTGAAAAAATGTTATCTTGAAATGGAAATACACGTAAAATATCATATTGTGTAATTGATTCTCGAAGAACATCATCAATACGTATTGATCCTGTATTGAAAACTGCAATTTTTGTTTCATTTATAGATATTGAATTTAAAATACTTCGACAAGCATGATCTGTTAATAATGTTGGAAAATTTCTTACTGATGTTGAACGACCATCTAACTCAATATTTGATGGTAAACAAGATACTGTTTTATCAGGTTGAAATCCTATTTGTTGAAAACCTTTTTTACCTAAATCATACCAATAATTAGTAATTTCAGCTGTTTTTGGTTCATCTACTAAGTCTGAATTTATTAATGTTAATGTTCGATAAACACGAAGTCGTTTTGTATCAATATTAAAAGCACATCGATGAATATAAACAGTAAATGCATTTGCATCAGCTTTAGTTATTGGAATATATTGTGAACCTCGTAATAAAAAATAATTTTCATGTTCATGTCCACCTAATATTAAATCAATTTCTGGTATATGTTCAGCAAGATGTATATCAATTCCTACATCTAAATGTGTTAATGCAATTAAAACATCATATTTTATATTTGATATTGATTTAAGAAATTGTTGAACAAATAATACAAGTGATGTTTGATTAATTATATGTACATATGGCTTATCTATATCAATTGTTAAACCAATTAAAAGAATATTAATTTTATCAATTGATAAAATTTTATATGGAATTGTTAATGGAAATGATTGATTACTACCACGTTTAAATACATTTGTACTAATCCAAGTAAATTTTGATTCATTAATTCTTGTAATTAAATCATTTTCATTTAAATCAAATTCATGATTACCAAATGTAACAAAATCAATTCCTAATGTATTCATAGATGCAACCATATGTCGTCCATTTAATGTTGTTCCATTAACTTTTGATTGACTTAATGCTGATGGTGAAAGAAAATCACCAGATAATATTGTATATGTTTGAGAATTTTCTTCTAATAATAATTCTCGTACATGAGCAACACGAGCTAAACCACCTTTTCGTCCATGATCTAATGGAAGCATTTCATAAACATCATTTAATTGTAAAAATGTCCATTGTATATATTTTCCATCATTTGGTAAACGTATAGGAAAACCTATTGTACCTTTATCAACTGCATATAAATAATGAGCAGAAGATTTTGAACGATTCAATAAAACAGCAAATGTAATCGTTGTGATTGTAAGACTAATTATTATTAAAGATATTATCACAATAATTAATAAACGATTTTTGTCGTGAACTAATTTAGACCATTGAGACCATTTAGAATTTAAGCTTGGTTGCTAAATATTAATAAAAAATAATTTATTTTATATATGTTTATCAATAGAAACACTGTCTTTTTTTTAGCATCTTTAAAAAACAAACATACTATATCATCAATTACCATTATAAATCTATTGTCTAACTATTCCAATATATATCAATTAAATTTATTGTTTTTTTTAATGTACAAGAAGAAAAACACTATCTCAATTGTATTGCTTTTGTCCTTTAGTTTGAATAACCTAAAAGAATAAAAATAAGAATGTTTTACTCTATCTCTAACACATTTCTTTTAATATGATAAATAAACTGATAAGCATGTTTATTTGTTTAAGAGCAGCACATATATATATTTGTTTTATTAACCAATAACAGACAAAATATTTCAATAGATATGATCGATTATTAGTCCTTTTTTTAAAAAAAAATTCTTTTGATATTTCTTTTGTAATTTTTGTTAATTTTATTTTAGATTAAAGTAACATCTTTAGTTCGAAAACTAATATTCTATGAAAAGTCGATGCTTTCATCAGTTACTTTTAAGAGAATCTCTATCTTTCTAGGCTTTTTTAAGAATAGTTTGGCAAAAAACTTTTGAAATTTTCCAGATAGATCAATCTCAACGAGTGTATAATGAAAACTATCATAGATTGTAAATATTCAAATGCTTCCGTACCGAATATCTTGATAGTATAGCAGCTATAAATGACCTGAAGTTCACCTTACAAAAATTCATTGTGTTTTTTTTTTAAGGTCGAATTTTTGTTTTTCTCTAGCAAATATGATCAAGTCTGAATACCTCGTTTTTTTCTTGGAGAAATATTGTTGTTGAGGCTCTAGAGAATTAAAATACTAGAAGTACTATGAGGAAATCATCAAAAAATGCTTCTTTTTTCGAATACTATTAATTTTATAAAATTTGTCAAAGTTTATAAGTATTATATATTCAAGAGAAAAAAAAGATATACATCCTAATTTTATGTAATAATCTATGAAGAAGTTTGAGTTCCATCGACCATACTGTATGATAGAAAAGAGAAGAATATTTCAACTCGTTTGCTTAAAAACATGACTTTGAGAAAACAAACTCAGGGAATTGAAATTTAGAGCTTTTTTAGCATAACATGGAATTGTTTGTCGTATACAAAATGGTAGATTTTACTTTTTAAAATATATTTATTAGATAGAATGTATTTCAATCTACATATCAAACAAAAACAAAAAATCAAAATCAAAACATAACTGATATTTTTTGGTCGGTAAAAGGAGGATTCTCTTTCAATATTTATTTTCACATTAATTCATAGATAAAATTCTTACTAAAATCTACTTATAAAGTATAATAATATATTACCTATTGATAATGAATTATATATGAAATACTTCTTTTGTATTACTATATGACTTTTATCATAGATTTTGACTCTACATTACTGTCAAATATTTGAAAAGAAGAAAAACTGAATATTAATCAAGATATTTCAAATACTTTTATGATAAAAAATAATATTTTAAGTTCCAATATAAAATGTGCTCGATAAGAATATTAACAGAATAGAAAAATTATCAGAATTATTACTATTATGTCTATTAATCAAAATCTATTTGCTATTATTATTGTTAAGTCTATATTTATTTTTTGATAGAATCGTGTCAGAAATTTTAAAATGAAATCTAAACATTAGACTAAAGTTAATTGTAGAATACTATTTCTTTTTAATCTAGTGTAATCATTAAAACTATTGGTAGAAATTTTTCATTATATTTATATATTATTATATATTTTTATTGTTTACAATGATCGCGAAATAACAACGACATGAACCAACTTTCCTGCTTTTTTAATAAATAAAATCCAGGCATTATCTCTAAAGCATCAAGCAAAGACGTCAATCGACAAATTGTTCTCTTGATAAAATATTAACCCTTTAGCATTATATCAGTGAAGTATATTACTAAACAGAATCGATTTGCGAAAAAAAAACATGTAATTGTCAGATAAAAAAATCTAGAACTCAATTTTAATTCTAATTAATACTGATATTTTTATGGACGTTTATTTAAGTGAGTAGATCATAGTTGAATATGTCAACAAAAGAACATAGAACATGTCAGACATGTTTTACTGTTGTATTTTTGTTTTTAATTGTAAGGAAGAAAAATATGTCACTGGTTAACATTACAGAATTTTATACATATTTCATAAAACATAGAAGAATAATTATTAATCCTATTCAAAACTAATTTTCTAAATTAAAATAAAATTAATCAAACAAGAAAAAGTAATTTTTCTTTCTCTAAGATCTATGAAAAAAAAACACACTTACGATTTGATTGAAATTGAAATAAAACTTGTTTCCTTTGTATGTTTTGTCACAACAGATAACAAAAGATTGATATTAGATAATCCATTTCTACACAAAGAGAAAAGCAAGACATTTGATCAATAACCTTCTCTCTCTCTTGTCTTTTGTCAATATCACACTAGTATGTATTCGGAATTACGTCTATAAAAAGCAAGTGTTATTTGCGTCTGACCTTGCATAGTTTCAATCGATGAAGATTGAAATTCAACTGGATAACCCTTAATCGGCACAAATGTCATTTTTATTTCACGATCACAGGCTGCATATCGATGGATACAATCGTATTTTGAGTAAATAAATTCTTTTCTATCTCCATTCTTGATCATTTTGGAATGAAAAATGGTTGTATCGATAGTATTAATGAGTAGTCATTCATCATCTCTGTTAAATCTTTCTTAAATAAGTTCATCACAAATGTTGAATCCTTATCTAATATCAAATCAAGTTTATTCATTATCTATGCCATAAACTCCTGGACATAACATAACAAATCTATTATTCATACAATGCGTAAAATAAAGAATAGATTGTTAAATTATTGATTTAAATTGTGTCAATCTCAATCATCGTTTTTGATGATATTGACTGTAGAAACTTTTTAAATACATTTTTATTTCAGTCAGTTATCAATGAAATTCATCATAACTAGTTTAATAGTGACAAAAGAAAAATATTTATTTATTGTTATTTATAGTTACTATGGATGTTTGTATCGTGCTGAAGTTGTGTGCACTGGAAATTGGAATCATAACGATTATTCTGACTGTCAATAAAACAAGAATAACCACAACAACAACAGTATATTTCAATAATTAGAGTTAATATAAGTATTTTATTTTCAGAAATTATGAATAGATGAATAGGATTTTATAATTTCGTTTTTCTCTCAACGAAACTGTTTCGGATAATTGTTATTAATATTGTAATATTTGACTTAATTTTAATTCATTAAGTATATTAAAACAATTTTTTCTTTTTGAGAATCTGAACATGAGATAAGAATTTTTTAAATAGTGATTTTTTTCATTTGTGTAAATGATGAGAAGATTGAACTAATCGAAATTAAAAAAAAAATTTTGTTTTCTCTTAAGATGAAATATATCAAATACAAAAATTTTAATAAATCTTTCTCAATTTAATAATAATAACATATCTCATGTATCCACCAGCACCATCTCTATGTTTAAATTACAGAAACGACACCGATGATACACAACATATTTCATATATTTTATCAAATTCACATTGTGACAATGCATAGTTATTCACTATTAAGCCTATATAAAATCAATTTCAAAGTGCAATTCGTTCTCTGGTTATTTATATGTCAATAACAAATAATTGTTACGGGAGCAGTTTATACTGGTTGGTATGCACGAGAATATTCTTAAATAGTCTAAAAAACTGTAACAAGAAATACTTACTACTAAATAATATTGTAAGTACATACGCAAGGTGTAATCATATGTTCATATTCATGATAGTACTTTTTATGTATGCATTTTTGTTGCACTACTGTTACGTAATTTTCTTGATTGTATAGCTTAATTTCATTTCTTATGGGTATAATGAGACATCATTATTATTGTAAAAACAGTATATCCTTTGTTAAAGAAACAATATTAAATTTATCTTTGTTTTTTTTTTAATGGATATTGTTTTATTAATAAATCTTATATTTAGAGACATAATATCATAAGGAAATTATCGATGATAGATTTTTCTCTTCAGATATGCATCAATGAAGGCGAATGAAAATCATCAGAACACATTGCTGGATAATGCCATAAGTCATGAGAGTCAATTCAAATCTTGAAAAAACCTTTATATAAGACGAATTATCTCATGGAATAAGATGGGACCCATTATTCATACCATAGAATAGAATGGAACAAACCAACTAAGCTCATGAGACTATTTTGTCGCCTAATCTCATCACTTTCGAAGTGTGGTATAGACCAAATATATTTATATGTTTCATTTGGTGATTACCAACGTTACTGGTGACTCATAAACAATTGGACACTTCCATGTTCTTTTAATAAAGACCAAAAATACAGTCCAAAGAGTCCGTTCTAAACTCATTCGATAGATAATTTTTCTTTCTATGATAATGTCGACTTGGTTTTTCAATTATAAGTTATTCTTGTTAGCAAGTAGTATTAGGAAAGTTAGACAGTCACTCAACTGCACAACTGCGATCTTTTGACATTTTCTGCGGATATCTAATGATTTGTACAAGACTGTGTTCATCAAGTCTGATACTAAATGTAAAGTATTTAGCATTAATAAACACAGAAATTTGTGCAATACGACTTCAAAACCTTCTTTTTTAGGTTTCTGATAGTATCATTCACATGTAAATGCTTTAGAACTAATATTAAGCACTATTTCTTTGGATGAACTTTTGGAATTTGTGATTTCAAAAGTCAGACATATTCTATGAAAGGTTCATTGTTATATAATCGGCCATCGACTTTAATCCTAGATAAAATGATGTAACATTTCAACTAAGCAATGAAAATCTTTAGAGTGTTTTCAATTAAAAACAAATAATGGTATAAACCCATCAGAAAAGGATTCTTTATGATGTTTTCGAGTTTTCATTCCAAAAATTTTTCTCTTAGATATTTTCCACAAAATTCCGAAGCAGCAAATGGTGTAGAATTGATTAAATATTTTGTAACATATATCAAATTTTGAGGTAACTGGTTTCAAGAAAAAAACAGTTTTTTAATCATTTTTGTGCTGTTTGACTATCGCAGTTGAGTAGGTGCCAATTTTTTTTAGTTTTTGTCAACAAGAACAACTTATGTGAAGAAATCAAGTCAGCAGTTTCGTAGAGAAAAAAATATTCTGTCTAATGATCTTAGAATGAACTCTTTACACTGTATTTTCGGTCGTCATAAAAAGAAAATAAAAGTTTACTGTTCTTTATAGGCTATTCGTTACCTTTGACTGTTGCTTGATGTTCTATTTTTTTAATTTTTCTGTTTCTTACATTTATGATTTATTGTAGCAAAGTGCTGTAAAGAGTATTTCTATTTTAATAAATCACACGAAACATGTTTGAGAGTAAAAATCTGCATTTATTTTTATTCATTAATATTATGCACTTATCTAAGAAAAAAAAAATTTTACTTCGACAAAAGCTTGATTACTGAAAAGTAGATTGATTGGTATTTAAGATATACAGATCGATCTGTTTTTTTTTAAATAGATTTATTCTCATCCTAGTGATTTATTCAGTAATCATAACTTTTCGTACATTTTGAAGAACTATCGAGTACGAAGAGCAATGCTTATCGTTTATTAATTAATTGAACTAATATGTCAATCCAGAAACTCTAACTTTTTGGAATATCTAAATTGATGATCTTAGTCGAACCAAACAGTGTGTCGTATGTTTTTTTTATTGCTTGTTTAGTTTTATTGTGATTGCAGTCATAATGAGCTTATACGATTAGAAGCTTTTTATCATTCAATTCTGTTCATTACTTAAATGAAAAATTGCGCTGTCCTGACTTCGATTAGCAAGGGAAATCACAAGTATTTACATATTGATGAATGAAATCAAAGTAGTCTATGTTCTTAAATTGTACGGTAGTTGACACACAATGTTCAATCAAACTTCGTTTTCATAGAAAAGTTTATATTAATAGCAAGTCCATTGTCGATGTAAACAATACTTTTATTATTCATCATACTGCTGTTCAGCTTCTTCAGCCAAAATTTGATTAATCTTTCGTTGTTTGATTAGTGAAGGAGATGTTGAAGATAAAATCGGTTCTGATGAAATATCTGATACAGTATCTGGTAACGTTTGCTCATCGATCTGTACTTCAGCACGAAAGGTCTCTGTATTTGCTTTGAAATGTGTACTTCCTCGAGGAAACGATGCAGAATAATAAGGTTGAATAACTCTCTTTCTGCCAAAAAAACGATAGATGCGCCATAAATTGGTCATCATCAGTGTAAAAAAGAATGATCGAGCATGTGCCTTTTGATTCGTACATACGTAATAAATTATTCCAGGAATCCAAATAGGTGACAACAATGTAGTTAGTAATAATATTTCAATAGTAACTAATATCATGACAGGTTTGTTACGTTCAATCGAAGGTAAAGATTGTAAATATTCAATGTATAATGGATGAATATTATAGTGTGTTGCACCATTACGTAGAAGACCAATATAACGATGACTAGGCACTGCATGATGATATAATATAGCTGGACTTGTCTGACGAACTACTAATACATAGGCTTCAATTATACGACCATCATAAGCATGCACATTGACTTTTTTCGGTATATATCCATTTGCATCTATTCCACTTCCTCCTTCAGTTGCCATTAAATGTCTAAATTCTTTACTAGTCATCTTATGTAGTACACCATGAATTTCAGAATCAGGATTTTCTTTAATATTTCCAAAGCATGGTTCAACCGCTGGAATACCACGTAAGTCAAACGTCAACTGCCATCCTTCCAATATTCCTGGAATCGATTCTACTGGCCGAATTTTTCGTCGACCAGTTAAAATATCAGGATGCATATTGGAGCCATACGCGAAATTGTACACGTACTCTGGATAACTTAATGGAAACAAGGGCTCCGAAGTGGAGTCAGATATATTCATCTAAAACAGAGTTGAATACTCTGTTGAAAAGAGCACTTAATATCTTCATAGAACCAATTAAATATTTACAGGAAAGTTTATTCTGCACTTAAAGACATTCGAAACTTAAAATTTTCCGTTTCTGTTGCATTCAAAATTTTGATGATAACCGTGTATTGATTGTTATTCTCATCACATTCAATACTCTTATTAAGGCTACAGATTTTAATCCAATGATACTCATTTGGTTGAATAAAAAAAAAATTAGAATCCATCCAACTCTATGTAATAAGTATATTAAAGGTATATTCAAGAGTTTTTTAACGGTGAGAAAATAGTTTCTACAATATCATGGCCCAAAACAATACTTTTCACAGTACGCTCGGTCACATCCATTATAAAAGTTTTGCATTGAATAATAAAATTCTTCATTTTTGCGATACTAAAGTCCTTCTGACGTTCTGCTAATTTTCAAGCTAAATTTTTTCATAACAACAAAATGTGAAATCTCGAAAATTTTCAGTACATATGCTTATTACTGAGTTGCTTGAATATTATAAATTTTATCAAATTGAATATATAAATTGCATTTGACGAGTAAAATATACATACGTAACAAATTCATAAAAAATTCTTTCTTTTTTCCTCTTTAATGATAGCAAAACTTTGACATCCTTTTGGACGCAACAATATTTGTTTGCTAGTGTGTAGAATTGTTATTAAAAGGTTTTGACTATCTACTGGCAAGAGAATTCGAAAGTAATGTTAATAACATAAATAAACAAGAAAACATCTTGGAACCGCATAAATATCGATAAGATGTGAAAAGTCAGAAAGAAACAATAAGATATCTTTCTCATGCGGTAGTCATCTGTAAATCTATTATGAATATTCGAAGCAAAGATGTATGAGCTAAGTTTCAAAAATTTCAGATAAACAGTAAACTTCATTGACAGAAGCTATGAGTATGGACTAGAGTTTGAATAACATCGAGTTAAAACAATACTGAAACTTTTGAAACATGATAGCCTTATTCTCGGAGGTTTAATTTCTAATTATTGAATATCACAACAACTAAGTATGTACCAGTTCTACTGGGTACATATTCAGTATTCGTGTACTTATCTCTTTTGATTCTTGTTCTATAACAACAAATTATTATTTATGTTAAATATGAACCAAACCTACTCGAACTGATGCCCACATAACTGGAATTGATACATACATAACAACGGCAAAGACTATTGTTATAGTTTTTACTACTTATTCAAAGGAAAAACATTCACTTGTGCGTGCAGTTCGAATCATTCTGATTGAAGTCATCGCTGTACTTTGCTGAGAAAATCCTTCTGAATAATTTCAACTCTTACTTCATCAATGATGCAACAGTACGACTGCATTAATACAAAGCTTCGCATATATATGTTGATGAAAAGACATTATAGCTTGTCTAGTGCTGATCAATAACCATTGACTCTACATTTAGAACATGAGATACTCGTAACAAGCAAATAACACTAAAACACGCTTCATTTTACATTACGAATTATCGTTACTGCTTCACAACAGGAGAAAAAATATAGGAAAGAATCATTGCCATATATATTGAATCCTAATAGTATATACTTCTATATGATAAACAACACTTAAACATATTACAACTTTAAAAAAGTATTTAAGCTATAAACCTAAAGTTTTTTATAAAAGCATGAAATTCTCCGTTCTACACTATCTTCAAAAGGTCTAGCACAATTTTTGCAAAAAAAATATTAGGCAGAAAAGCTCAAATTCTCTGCTAACTTCACTTACACGAGTCAGTGACAAAACTGTAGACAACTAACTTAGTCTGATTTTCAATACATACTTTAAGTCTAAGTCAGAATTTACAACCCATGTCGCTTCTTTTTTATTAAAACCATCGGTTAACCGCGGTTTGTGAAAAAACCGCCGGTTCGACCGGTTCATTTGTTTTTCATCAGTTTTCGACCGATTTTTTGGTAAAATTAATATTGGTCTTTCTAAGAACATCATTTTTTACTCAAAAAAAACAATTTAAGTCTCTTTTAGTACATTTTTTTAGATGACACTACAAACTTTTCTATTGGTTAATGTTCTAACTTATTGTGATTTTTCTAGCGGCATCTTTAATGAAATATTCAAACTCGTAAATTAAGCAAAATTAGCCGATGTGGCTAGTACCGGCGGCTTCAGCACGTTTACTAATATAGGGAAGCGCGATTTCGACTTAAATCTGACAATTTTCTAAGAGTTAAAAAATACTCATCCAGTGAGAAATAAAAATATATCATGAAAAAGAACCGCCGGTTAACCGCGGTTAACTCCAGTTAACCGAACGGTTAAGCGCCCAGTTAACCGGATGGTTAACCGCGGTTAATCGGCGGTTTTAGACCGGTTTTAGCGACATGGGAAATAACTAATCAATATTATTTATTCGGTATATATGGAAGTTGGTTCGTACACTGATATAATAAAAAAAACTGAAAATCAGCATAGTTAAAATTATTAAGAAAACTACATAGTTAAATTTTCTTATTTCTAGAATATTTATATGAATATGAACTGACCATTACTTATTTAAACATTCTAGCTATGAGTATACCCACAGGTATGATCACAATCATCATAACTACTAGAAGATTCTTCGATAGTTTTTGAATAATATTTATAAGTCGTTGTAAACGCTGAATACCAAACATTGCCAGTGGCATTTCGATTATTTTGTAATACCATGCAGCTGTAGCAATTTTAACATATGACTTATATGGTGATGGAATAGGTTTAAAGCCCAATTTTTTGTAAATAGGTGCACCCATACGACTTGCCTGCAACGTCATATAACGATAATTTAGTTCTCTAGCGTTTACCATGGCTGTTAGTGATAATGCCTTGCCTATACCTTTTCCACGTTCATTTTTCAGCGTTGTTACATTGAATAAACAAGCAATACCACTGGCTAAAGTTAAGTGACATCCACCAATTACCCGATCATCCTTCACAGCAATAAACATTCGTATCGGTTTAGTTGGTCCGACTTCGACTCGACTCCATACATCTGCATAAAATGGTCCATGAATTTCAGCATTTCTAAATCCGAAACTTTCACATAAAACATAACCCCATTCTAATTTTCTCAATCGACAATCGGCTTGTGTCGAATCATCTAGTTCATATATTTTTATATCGGACTTGGCGTCATCATATTTTAATAAATTATCACTATGATAAAAATCAATATATTGATATTCATCGTTCATTTGTGGTAATTCAAAGAATCCATAACGTTTCAATAGTTTTTGTGTATCAAAAGCTGACGGCTTCACTTGTAAACGTGTTGGACACTTATAATCAGATGCTAAGGATAATATTTGTTTAATTATTTTATCCTTGTCATTGCAATGATAATGTTCCATTGTATCACAAATATCTGTATTTAGTATTGCATTATAAAAGCTCCAAAACATATTTGGTGAAAAAATACAATCAATCATATTTTCTATTTTATGGAAACGTAATGGTTTATTATCTTGTTCGTTCTCATTACCATCAGAAGCAGCATAGTTTGCAATATAAAGATAAAATGATTTTTTATTTTCACAAAATAATTCATTTAGTTCAAATAGTTCAATGCCCTTTGTTAATATGTTCATTGTAGACATTGTTTTGACTTAAATATTACGTTTATCAATTTTTTCTACGTTAAATGTATAATGAAATACCACATAAAAAGACCAGATACAGTGTTCGTTATATTCACCTACACAATGCCCAAACACTGTTTAAGAACGATTTGTTATAATAGTTGCTCGTAAAGATAGAAGGTAATATTTTTTTTCTAACTTGCAATGCAGATAAAGTTGTTCTTGTTTTTGTCCTCCATGTTCTGCAAATGTTTACCACTATAAGACTTTTGCCGTTTTGTCTGTCGATTCAGATGTCGCCATCACTTATTTATTGTATCAGTCATACATGTCACCAAGATGCGTTGTCGCACAGAGACCGTCATAGGGCGCTTTTTTTGTTCCCTGTCCTGCCCTGGACGATAAAACATAAAATATTTTTTGGCCTGCCTTCAGGGCAGGGTGCCCTAAGGGTATTTGAATTGAATCTTAAGTATAGGGTGAATTTATGACATGATGAATAAATCTAATGGATTTTGTGTTCATTATATATGTCTTATTTAAGTCATTTCAACAAAATATTATCCATGCGTAGAAATAATCAAAAGTTCGTTTAAATTCTATGAAAACGATACTATTTTTATATAATTATAATCCTGCTGAGATGCCACGTTAGTCTTTTTAAGTTGTCAAGATTATTTTCAAATTTCTCTAGTCGATTAAGATTGAATAACTAATTTAAAAAAATAAAAATTGATAAATATTTTTGATTAATGAGGAAAAATTTAAAATCTTATCAGTGAAAGAAAACGAAATAATTGATCAAAACTTACAAGATAATCGAGCGAAAGTGATGTCATTTGAGTTTATTCTTTGTAAAAAAAAATAACTTGCTTTAATCCAGTATCTTCACTTCTCTTGTACGGATCCAAAGAATAAGCAAGATGACTGCAGAAAAATCAGATATTTATCAATGAACATAGAGATTGTGATTGACTGAATGCTATCATTTTATCGATTTGCAGATTTTCATCGCTACTTACCAAGAGGTTGCGATTTATTTTCTATGCGTTATAAATATTTTTGATGTGATAACCGTGGTTAAACTTTTCTAAAGTGGGGAGGACTGTATTGTACAATGATAAATCAGAATGAGTATCAAATTCATTAGTTCTGATGAAACCAATTGAAAAGACAGGTTCATCATCGACTGATGGATGTTTATGGGATTCCATTGATAATAGATGTTTTGAAAGATTCTATTTAGCTTCGAAAAAGGCTTCCAAATAAACTTACATGAAAAATTAATAAGGCAAAACAAATTTGCCCTGTCCTGCTCTGTACTTTTCTTCGATCGCCCTGTAGGACAAACAGGACAGGGCAAAAAAAGAAATTTGCCCTGAAGTACAGGGCAGCCCTGACCTGATGACGGTCTCTGTTGTCGCATACCTAGTAAATTCAAAAATCTAACTTATTTTTTAATAACTGCAATTAATACTACATCCGATTGAAAGATGCACTAAAAAATCGATTCATACTATTTTCACAGATGAACTCAAATTCGATCTTGAAAATAAAACTCATTTCCTCGTTTTTTGAAAATTTTGTCGTTAGGCATTTCATAACCTATAGGTAGTTCGTCCAGATCCCACTTTAAGAGCAAGCTAAAATCCACCATTGAAATATTCGTAAGCTTTCGGAGAAGCAATCACAATATGAAGATGGCAAAAAACGATTACTTTTGCAATTATTGCTTTCGTTGCGATGGAAAACGACGTTCATTATAACTGCTGATTGCCATCGTTATTGAATGTTATTGTATCATTGATAAAAACGTCTATTTATGCATTCGAGAAATGGATGAAATCACCTACGCTATTGTTTGTATCAGACATCTATTAAACAAATTAATTTTTTGATCAGAATTCAAGTAATTGCGTTATCAATATGATGATATTTGGCATCATCTATAAAGCTTTGAAAAGCAACAAATATTCAAACAAGAGAAGAGATTCAATTTAAAAAACATATCTCTATATATGATAACGTTCTAGTTAATTTATTTATTTTTACTGTATTGAATTAATTATCTAACCAAGAATATTAATTATACCCTGAAGGTAATTCTATTGAATATGCAAGTTTGAAATTATACTTAGCAAGTTTCTTTCTCTTGATAGAAACTACGCTCTAAACAAATAGGCTAACTAAAATGATTCTTCCCGTGAACAAACAAGAAGAAACTTTTTCTGTGGTTTTATATAGAAAAGATTTCGCATCAAGGTTCTTACGAACCATTGAAATCAAGGCTTCGTATCAAGGATTTCATGCCAACCCTTACGTCTATACTATTATACCTGTACGCTTATGACTATATTTTTATTCCCATACTTACCTATCTGTACTATTAGATCAAAATTCGTACTGCGCTATGTGAGATCAAAGCTTGAGAACAATTGTTTACCTCTGTGTTACATAGGTAAACAAAGAAAGATTAAAAACTGAAACAAAAGTAAAGTGCCTCTGTGCCAAATATTTTGATACCATGAATTCGAGTCTCATGACTTTGAATAACACTGGCTCACAACTACTGCAACGATTTATGACGCTGATGAATAAGTAAAACTGTCATCTCATTACACAATATTGATACATTTAGTCAATGAGAAACTATTTTCAACCATCGCCCACCGAAAATATGTTACACGAAACAGTTTCGACATGCCATCCACGCAATATTGGCTCGGAAGAGCCTTGATTTCTACTGTTTATCGAGAAGATTTGGTAGAAAATACACGAAGCTTTTTTTCTTTTCTGAGAGAACACTGACGAATCGGATAGAAAAAATATAAAGTCCATTATCGTTCTATCGAAATATGAAGATTTTCAAAAAGCACGCAACTTTTGTATCATCTGAATACAAAATGATTTCTTAGAAAAAATACGAAACTTCTTTTTTACAGGCAAAAATTCACTACAAAGCATACAGTCCTAGTTCGTATTCTACCAAACCATAGAAAAGCTCGTGAGAGAACACTTTTATTTTATTCGATCGAATTACGAAAGTTTTGTATGAAAAGTACTAAACATTTTCTTATTTTTCTGAGTATGTCCAAGATTTCATATGAAAGACATCAGTCTTGTGAAATTCCACTAAATCTAAAAAGATTTGGCACAATGAGTATAAAACGACTTTTCTTTTGCAAAACTTCTTAGGTTCATTGATATACTTATTTATTTTTATGGTATTCTATATTCTATTGTAATTTCCTATTATACACATCACAATGATGAGACTGTTAAAATGTTTTAACAACTTTATTGTAATTACAGTATTTATCTGAAGACAGGAACAAATCACATTAGAAGTATTTCAAAATCTATCAGACATAATTGTTTTCGACATAAGTACATCTTCGAATAAATTTCAATTAACTACGTATTATTCTTCGCTAAATGAAAATTTATCTATATTTTTGTTTGATGAAATCTTGAAACCAAATATGAATACAATTAAACTTGCTTATTTTAATACTAAATATCAACCTTGGTTTAATACTATCAAAAAACTATGAGGAAAGAATTTTCTTCAATTGGTTTTTAACGAACTTGTAGCAAAATCTACCCGCTGAAATGCAATGATTGATCTAATTTTAGTTCTTACAGTTATGATAGCGCCAGTGTCCATATTTTATGTTCTCCTTCTATTGATAGCAATCATTATCTTGTCGTATGAACTCCAGCAACCAAATTACTCAAATGTGCGTGTCTTTAACCTAGTAAAACCTACATGATAGATAATAATTAGAGTATTGTTAGCATTTACGTCTTCTTTTTGGAATAATCTGTCTTTCATCATTAATCATATTGTATATCATTTCAGTTTTTATGAACATTATCTGTTATTGCTGATATTCAGATTAATGTCTATATCTTATTGTAGCGCCTATATACTATCACTTTCCTCATATAATTAATTCTTATACAGAAAAAAACCGGTATTGTGGTTAATACGATAAATAAAATATCCTTTCTTCATCACACAATCAAAAGCATATTGAATAGTCATATAAAAAGAAACTTTTGGATAGAGGAGCAATTATCTTGACGTAAATATTATAAAAGATGAAATGTAGACAATCTAAAGTAGTTTTGAAAAAAAAGTATGAAAACATATCTCGATACCTAATCCAATAATCAACGATTATTTCTCGTCAAATGGATAGAAAGACTAGTTTTCCAAGTATTTAACCAAACTTTCTTCGATGATCGAAATTGTATTTGGAAATATAACTAAACAACTTAAAATTAGGATCAAGACAGAAATACATTTGATACCAGTAAAAAAAAATATGAATGTGTTCAGTAAAAAATTCCGATCTGGTCAATGAAAAACATAGATTTTATCAGTAGAGTATTTTTTTATCCGTATAATAAAATAGGGTGTAGATGTGGGGATGGATTTTCATTACATATACATCTACACACCCTTATGATCATCGTGCTCAGCTTCACTTTTATAAACAGTAACTTTTTTTTACTGTTCACATGACACAGCTGATAAATACTTGCTATACATTACGGTTCACGACAGTTGGCTTTGTTGCATCTGTAATAAACTGTTCTCCCATTTTTTCTATAGTTCAAATAATGTTTTGACCATTCATTGCCAATAGTTGGTTCTACTCCATTAACATTATCAAATGTAATCTCGTTAACCCAATATTTTGATTTCTTGTTTTGACAAGTCTTTTGTTTTCATTTATTTCTTAATTTACCTCCATGCCATCTTCATCTGATACATTACTTTCATATATAGAATACCTACGTACATAGCGTCTGTGCTACATGGTACAAGAAAACAAAGAAAAGAAGAAAAAAAAGAAGTGAATCACACTATAATACAATTTCAATTTGTACATTTATCCTTTGATTTAATTGACTGTTAGTAAATTTAATTTACTGTTCTTTAAATTTATTAACAAATCTAATTCATCACTGACGGACTATTTAAGTAATTAACTGATCTTTCTTTTAAT